TATAGGAGGCATTCAAAGAAAAGTTCTATGATTATTATTGACATACTGTAAGTTAAAAACCACACTGCACACATAAACCCTGGGGAAGAGGTTCAGGACAAACACAAAGAATAGGAGACATTCGAAGAGAAGTAAAGGAGGCATTCGAAGAGAAGTACAGGAGGTATTTAAGGGAAAAAATAACCACAGCACTGATTACAATTGGCACACTGCTAAAAAATATTTTAAAACTAATACAAACTAATACAGGGTACTTCAAAAAGAAAGTCTAAATGAGCATAAATTTGTCAGTCCAAGGTAGAAATGAAACCAAAAAGAAGTTAGGATGAATCTCTACATTGCATGTACATGCCTATGCTTCACTACAATATTTTGATGCCAGCATATCTTTCTGAGGTCTGCTGAAAGAGTAATCATGGAATTGTTTTGCATTATCAGGGATGCCGGCTGTCCTCCACAGTGGGACTTTTAATGCCTCTTGAAAAGAGAAAACAAACTTGAAAATTCCAGGTTTAGCACAGAGTACTGACAACAAAAGGTAACAGACCAAGTTTCCGCTAACTACCCATATGCACGGTATTAGTAATCTGCTATCCCAATCCTTTCACTGCCAAGCCATAGGTGCATGTCAAGGCCTTAGACTGGAGAGAGAAGGAAAGCTTTTGTTCTACACACAATCAATTTTCAAAAAACCTGTGCTGGCTAGTTTGATTAGGGGCCAGTTGTTGACGAGTGGTTTGATAGTAATGTACCTTGTGCCAACACATATATATTCAAGATGAGGACTTTTCTAGTTGAATGACAGTTAAACAGCACCTAGGAAACTTATGATCCTGGATATCTGCCGTTATCATGACGATACACGTAGCCGTTGATAACACCAGTGATGTGATCAAATGATATAGGCTTGTTCCCATCAGTCAACTGGACAAGTCCATCAACTGTTACCTAGCACGCAAGTCATCAGAGTTGGTGAAATCATGGTTAATCGTGGTATTCGATCTGACTTTCATCAAGTACATGTACTTCTCTTCGTCTCGCACAAGTTAAGCTGGAGGGTGCCCTCAACAGCTTCGCACTTAGCCCAAGCCAGTGTCACTGGACTTTCATCTTGAGACTATACATCGTAACAAGGTCTTTACAACTGGCTAAACACAGGCCAGACATACACAGATTCTCGGCAGTGATAGAGCCAACGCGTTAGTGTTAGTAAAGGTTATTGATTAATAATAATTGAACTCGTGCAAACTGGAAAGTTTTGTCAAAATCAAACAGGCCTATTTACTTAAGACATCACCCTTTGTTTACGTGTGCCCTTTCCTGAGGAACCACAGGGGGGCCAACAGTCCACTGAGCTCCATAGGAAGGCACATACAAGTACATGTATGTAAACAAAGTGTGGGCAAACTCTTGCAGGGTTTTGGACCTTCTGGAAGTCCAATTTGGCAGAACAGACCAATTGAAGGGCAAACCTTATAAGGGTTAGGCCACACAGTTACCAAGGGTACAACTTTGATCATTCCAGTCAGGATGCTTTGAGGATCCCACAGTTTGTTGACTTTGAAATGATGTCATATTATACATGTATTTTTATAATTATCTCAAGTTTATTCTTACAACGTTCTTGAAACAGTGATGGAAACAATATCTACATTGTGCCACACACAGTACTTAGGACTCTCCCAATTAGAAAACTGTTTGTCACTGAGTACATCAAAATTACTTTTCTTACAAAAAGTCAAACACATTCTCTGCATATCAAGAAAAACTTTTCCACAAATAAGGAAGTCAAGCATACTCTCTCTTTGTTGAGAAAACCCTCAAACGTAAAAATCAAAAAAAGGGCAGAAAACACAACGGCGTAAAAGAAAACTGAAATACAAACCTCTTTAGGGGGGCAGGGCCAACTTAACCTTCGCATGGTAAACCACAAAACACTCGTGCACTGACATGATGAGGGCAGCATGCAAGGGTTTTTAATTGGGAAGACAAATTAAAGGGCACGGTGAAGAAGATAGGACGAGCGAGGAGGAGGGGTGATGCGAACCGAGTTACCATACCTTGTTTGGGAGGCTCTGCAAGTACAAGAGAGTGAAGTGAGATTGAGAATGAGAAATCCAGTGCCGGTTAATAGACGGGGAAGGTTTTTTTTTGTTCAGTTATCGTCCAGGGAGGTTTTAGATGATCCACTCTGTGAAAATCTCAGGGTTTGTCCCACATCTCAGATTGATCTATAGCTTTACAAATGTATATCAGTTGGGAGACTGCATTAAAAATAGATTACAGGTGGGGCAGATTGTGTGACAATTTTACAATGCTTCTGGATGTTGATGATTTTTTTTTCAAATAATGAATTTAAGCGCTGCATATTTGCAAAAATCAAACTTATGCGTGATGAGTTAAAACCTTATGATCTACCTTTGGCATGGCATATGAGAAAACACTAACTATCCTGAATGCTCATTTGCAAAGATTCCCCCCCCCAAAAAAAAAGGACAGTGTCCGAAATATGCAAGTAGAAATGGGGCAACTTAAAAAGCAGCAAATGTGTGCATGCTTGGAAAGAAATACAGAGCTTGCAGTTGATTTCTCTCATGCAGAGTTATATCCAAATCATGCAAGTAATGGTGGAATTACAGACTTTCTGACACTGAGGTTTTCTGAGTGGTCACAGTTTGATTAAACAACAAACTTTTGCAATTACATTAGTAGCAATTATCAAAGTTCAAACTGGAAATACTTGTCATTGGGTTACACATCTGCATTATTATGTGCATGCTATGTCACCGAAACACTTTAAACAACGGGTGACTGGTTATTAGTTTGAGGTTTGAATGTGAAAATCAACGGTAAATCGCACAAGTGAACTAATCCACAAAAACCTATCGGCAATATCACAGCAAAAAGACAAGAGTGCTTTGAAAGGTTTCGTGTGTAGAAATCATACCCAATGGTAAAATCTCCCCTGAAAACAACACTTTGGGTGGTGAATGACATCATGTGCACGTGATGAATAACACAAACAGGGTTGTGACGGAGTTCCACCAAAACAGCACTTGGCATATTGAGGAGTGCGAGTGTAACAAAGGCTGCAATTTTTGAAAAAAGAACTAACTTTGGGAATTGTGCAAAATTTTGCCAAATGAAAAAGTTCAGCACCAACTAAAAAAAAGAACCTACTGAAATGGAAGGATATGCAATCTACCCAAGAACGGAATAACATTTCTCTGACATTTCTTTGCCTCAAAGCCATTTCTGTCACCTGGCACCAAACTGACAAGGGCGAGCACAACCTTGTGACCTCTGACCGGGAAGGAGGGGTATGCACTGACCTATATCTGCCTTGGGGTCCAGCTTGCCAAGGGGCAGTCCCGTGGCCGGCGTACAGTCCAAGATGGACAGCAGTGTCTTGGTCAGTCGCAGGAGTTCGCTGAAGCTGTAGAAGCCGAAGTAGATCAGGTGCTTGGCTAGGTTCACCACCTGCAGACGTCAGGAGAGAAAAATGAAGCCTTCCCTGGCAAAATTCAACCTGCTGCTCCACTATTACCAGAAATCTTTCTGAATCTCCTTTGATGCTTTACTCTTCAGCAACATGCTCTTTGCACTTAACTTCCAAGGGTCATTAAAGCCCTGTGCCAAGGGACTGTGGCCAGGCTTTTATCCTTCCTGAATCTTACAAAATCCTTCCAAACCTCCTTGCAGATTTGAAAATCCAGGAAGGATTAGGGTTCAGAACACCTCTCCAACTGACTTCTGTTTCTGTACTGGCCTTAGATTGTGCCAAGTGGTGCTTTTTGTTTTTACTATATTATCGCTCTGTGCCCAAGACGACTACGGCCTCCAAGTGTGCCCCTCACCTGTGACAAAAAAGAGCAGCCAGGACAATTTGCCATGTGACTGCAGCTATGGGTTGGTCACCCACGGAAAGAGCCCAAGGATTTGTGCCATTTCAGAACCACATGTACTCCATGCACTGGTGGCAGATGCGGGGAGGGGGGGTTGTTCCCTACTTTTCAGCTTTCCCCCACACTTTTTGCAGGTCCTATAATGGGGTGGGGCTTAATGAATCAGCCTATTAATGGCTGAAACCTGATGGTCTAACAACTGGCCAGCCCCGTTCTGCCACTGGTGACTCCATAACTTAGGTGCAAACAAGTGTGCACAATTGGTGGATCTTCCAAACAGGACATCTTTGTTAGGTAACAGAGCGCCCTCTTTCATCCTCGCAGAGTTTTACCGGAGCCTAAAATACCTGCAGCAACCACACCACTCTGCCCACAGCCACTGGCAATCCAGAGTTATATGCACATATAAATCACTTCCACATCACACATTGGCACAAAAAGGATTTCAAGTTTCATCTTGAAGCATGCTCCTACCTCGTAGGTCAGCTTGTTCTGCTCCTTGTCGGTGAATGACCAGGATGCTGACACCACGTTGCACAGGTAGTCCTCCACAAACTTGATGGTCAGGGAGAATTTGGGCTGAGTATCCTCTTTCCCCGTATGGTTGACATTGTTGGCACCATCGTAACTGAGTTAACAGGTCACAGTAAGGAATGGTTGAAAAATACAGCGTGTTGCCTCATGCATCGCGGCTAGCAATCAATGCTAGTCCACCTGTCTTCCCCATGACTGGTGAGATCTTGGCATGGCAAGACCATTTTGGTTGGGATAATCAAAAGGTCACGGAGGACCTAAAAGTTCGACCAACCACTGAACTGATCTGCTGATGGCATCTGCTGTCCTGCCCAACTTGACCTGTAGGATTCTTCAATACCCTTCAACATTCAGTGGCGCATCTCTAATCTGGTGGGTTAGGACACCTGGTGTTGCCTACAGAACTTCTCAATGTCAAATGGCTCATCTGTGCTTTTTTATACAGATAAATAATTATTTCACTTGTTTGAGCTTTTAAGTAAACTACTTACTTGGCCCTCATCACACCTTTTCACTGTTAAGCTTGGTAAAGCATGCACTGTGTGTATAAGACCCCCTTTGCGTTTCTCCCTTTCTTGGGATTTCCTCACCTGAATCTCACTTTTCCTTGATCTATAATCTTTCCCATAACAAATTTGATACGAGTAGACACCTACTACCACCATGACTTCTGTTTTCTGTGGTCTGCAGCCCATTTTATGAGTAGCCTTTGCTTTAGTTTTGGACAACATCTACTGAAATACAAACCAACAAAACCCAATGCTTGAACTCTACGAAGGCTGTGACGAGGACAAATTCGAAATGCGCTGGAAGTAGGAAAAGACACTCACTCGTCGATGGTGATCTGCGTGGGGATCTCCGACCACAGCCTGGCGTACTTGACGGGCGTGACCTGCTCCTGGGGGTCGCGGTCCACGTGCATGTGGAGCATGAGGCGGGTGAAGGAGGCCCGCAGGTCGTAGGGCAGGGCCTCGTCTGACATGCAGCGCAGTATCAGGTCGATGTCCAGTTGGGGGCCGATCTGGTTGATGGCCAGGTACTGGCGATCCAGGCACATCTGGGAGAACAGGTCCAGTTGGTATCTGAGGTATGGACAGGGGAAAACAAGTTGACAATTTGCCGACAATTTGGTTTTTTTTATTACAAGTCACACTTGACTCATTTGCGATCCGCTCTGTGAAAATGAACAATGAGTCACCAGAGCCACTTTTGTGTGACAGGCCTTCAAATATTCTTGCGATACCTAAATTACGCCAACCATCAACATTTCTAGCTCAAAACCATGTCAAACCGTGTGATACATGAACACAAAAAGTCTAGATTGCTCTTTCTAATGCAAACTGAAAAAAAAGGTGTTATGACTCATTTTCACAGAGCAGGTAACTGTATTCATTATACCTATTTAACCAAAATCTCCCATTTGCAATGTCACTTTTCACACATCCTGGGGAGTTGGGTTGTCCAAGTTCTGTGCACTGGGGTTGACTGTATTTTTTCCTGGTGTTTGGTCCCTCTGGAAATGCTACAGCCTACAGTTTGATTTCCAACTTTTTGTCATGGAGGTTTCAAACAGTTTAATGTTTTCACAGTTACAACATGTACTGTCTGGTGGCCGGAAAATAGTCATTTGCCTGCTTTTCTTGACAATCAAGCTTCATGCAGGGATCTTTGTATGGACAAGCTAATAGTCAATCGCAACATCAATACTAAAGAGAGATTTCAGCTGTAAGCCTCAACTGCCACTCCAGCCAAAACTACTCGTAACTACTTCATACGGTTGGCATAGGTACATGTATTGCTAATATGAATTTCCTGATCAGATTTCAGATGAGATCTGACGTGGTCCCCCTCTAAAAACAAACCAAAAAACAAAGTTTCCAGCTTAAATTTCCTGAGAGATTTGAAGGCATTATGAATCATGTACCCACAAGGGTGAGGTTACTTTTGAGAAACAGATGGGGGTCTATTAGCACGAAACTGCGTGCTTTCCTACTTAGTGAACATTGACCCCACAATTCCACCTGTAGTATTTCAGCACGCTGGCGTCCTCTTTGACATTTTCGGCAGCCCCCATGGCCAACTCCCGGATGCTCTTGGACTTGGCGCCGTTCTTCCAGAACAGGACGACCTCCTCCTCTTCCTCGATGGTGTAGACCGGCTCCGTGGTGCCATCGTCAGCTTCGACCTCCATCTCGACTTCCATCTGTGTTCGCACCAACCTGATTGGAAAGGAAACAGATAAGTATCACTTATGAACTGATTTAAATTGAATGTGACACTAAAGAAAGTGGTCAGGAAATTGGCCCATGCTGACACTACAGAGCTAAGATGTGTAAAACTAAAGTTCTCAGGAGTGCCTCAGCATTATCACATTTTTGATACCGTTTTGTGACCATTCTCTGGAAAAAGAATCTGATGTCACATGACGGGCAATTTTTCCAGTAAAAGTAAACCTTCAGACTGATGCGAACCAAAAACATTACCATAACACAATGCATCCCCTGCAATTTATTATATCGTGCTACCACAAAAGTATTCAAGAATAAAAGTATTTTCGAAAAAGTTGCCAATCGTGTGTTGAACATCAAGTTCATTTTTTCAGACAGTGGCCTTTTTCTGTGGTCTTGAGAAGTTTGTTGTAGGTTGCCAAAAATCTCATATTAAGCACACATACTTTGTTTCAATGAGAATATCCGAGTTCCTCTCGACGAGTACTGATTTGCAGATGAGTTCCTGGGTGACAGGGATAGCCTGGTTGTTGGACACACACAGATCTGACAGATACTCCAAAAATCTGGAGAAAACAATGCACAATCTTAAACTGTCACGATTTTAACACAAAATAGAACTGACTTTCTTAATTATAAGAACAGTCTGATGAAAAGTCATAAGTTGATGAATAATTAAAACAATGCAAAGTTGGATCATATTTAAAACACTGCTTAAAATCTACGACAAAGAAATATCAGGCTATTGATAGAATCTGTTGTGAGTTAAGAATGTGCATGTTATGTCCTCTGACTGACAAATTTATCTGGTTAACTGCGTGGTTAGAGCAACAATATGGTATCACAAAACTTGTGGATCCAAATTCCCCCCTCAATCAATTTTCAATGACTGACCAAAAACCTGGTGACAAAATCTAGAAGAAACCATCATGTAGAGCGGCATGTGCAACAGGGAAGTTGAATTTATTATTTTACGGCCCAATTGCATTCCTTGTTTTCAAGAAATGGAAGCAATGAATCTAAATTTGAAGGCTTAAGTTAAAATCTCCCCCTCAGTCAGTTTTTTACATTCAACAAGAAAAAATGGCGACAAGCTCTGCCAGAGGCCATCGCAAAATGCAACGCCAGCATAACGGGCAATCACGTTTATTCATCAATGGCCCACCTGCATTCCCCGTTCTTGCGGACCAGATTAACGAAGGTCTCGATCTCCGTGGCCGTGATGTGCTTCTCCAGGAGCTTGCGATTGTTGTGGAGGAGAGCCGTGATGGTGTCCTCTGCCAAGACGTCGTAGCCAATCTGCTTCTGCATGAAGCCAAACTGCTTGGCGATGTACTCCTAGAATGGAGAGTCGTTCACATTGTCACAATTGTGGCTGTGACTTTGCAAATGTATTTTTCTATAGACAGAAATTCTGGAGAGCAACTGTACAAAGCCTGCAACTTGTGTGGCATAATGGCCAGCCACAAATTGCATTTCTCTATGGATTTTCTCTCAAGTATGAGTGATACGACACATCTATCCTCGCGCGAACGTGATTGACCATACCGACGTGATTTCATACTTCAGTGCAAGAAAACTGGCCAAGTATGGGCATCAGTGCATAGAATTTTACTCCAGTCTTGTTGCTAGGGACTTTGTGGTTAGCAACAGGATTTCAAGTTTATTCAACCCGACTGCCTTGTCCTTTTTTTTTTAGCTGAAACAGTCCCAGACCCCAAGGTATCTTCAACAGTCCAGGAAGCATCAATACAATCTTTGTATTTTTAACATGGTCATCACACCTAAGGTAAACTGGTTATAGCTACGCACTATCTTCCTTATTCCAACGATATTGAAAAAAAAACTACCAGTGCGGCGGCTGTAATTGGTGGAATATGGTGATTTTACATCTACCCGTACGACTACCCGTACACACCTGGTTTTTCCTGTAAGCTTGCTGAGACAGTCGAAGAATGCGATAGCAGATGCGGCAGATGTGACGGTAGGGAGCATGTCGGGGATCTGCCAACTCTTCCATTTTCAGCATAGCACCGTCTCCGTTGTCGGTGAATGGGGCTTTCAGGATCTTAAAGATCTGCCAAGGAAATATGAAGAATCGGAGTATTAATGGCAGATGTCATAGAATGCATGTCAACACCATACCATTCCTTCAAAGGTATTTGGGAGCTTAGGCCCTCTCTCCAGCTCTCTCCACCTACGACAATACAAAACCCACTCAAATTCACTTAGGTAAAGAAACCTATCAGAGAATTTTTCCAAACTTTAGTCTGGCCTTCATTAATGTCTGTCTCATAAGGCCCTAACTAAAAATTAATTACAAGAATTTGATTTATATTTACGTTGCAGGCTATAAATCCTTAAACCCTCACCCCTAAACATGCCTGGACATTGCTCAACTGGGAATAAACGAAGACATTATACAGTGGTCAGAGAAAATCTAACAAACTGTTTGTGTTCTATTACCTGTTTGAGAATATCTTGCTCTCTCATGAGTTTCTGCCTGTCTCTGTCTGGGTTCTGCACCACCACATTCAGGGCATCCCCACCGTTGTTGGTCAACATGGCCACAAAGTACACCAGGTCTGTCAGCAGCTGCGTGACAAATCTGAGGGGTGCAGAAGGGAAGAGATCGATTGGTCCAAAAGAGAGAAAGAGAGAGAGAGACCACCGCTTGGACAGAAGTCATCTGAAAACGTTGTTGGTCACACCACGAATTGTCGTTCCAAGTGTGTATAAAGACTGTGGGTGGTGCATACACATCGTATTGGGATGCACCAAAACTATAACACTTCCTGGTAAATTCCTAGTTAAAGCCAAAAGTATTAAGCAGTGCCAAGTATACAGTATTCCAGTTTACCTCCTCTCGTTCTGCGTGATGGAGCTCTTCTCTAGTTTGGAGGCAATGGCCGACAGCACTTTATTGGCATCGTTGGCAAAGTCCAGGTCCCTCACCTCGGAGGGAGAGACAGGGATGATAGCAAAGGCTTCGCGATCCTCGCGAATCTGGGCTGTCCCCACCTGAAAAAAAGTGGAGGGAGGGGATATCATCAGAGGAACCAGCCAGGACAAACTCGTTCTCGTTTCCTGGGCATTCTTGCGCGAAACCTCGCTGAATTCTCCACTGCGCAGGAAACCAGTGGCACATATTTTGTGCTTAGAAACTTTCAAGGAGCATCAAGCCCTATGTTAAGTTACAGTGGTTGGACTCTTTTGTCCCCGATCATTCACAATCCCGCAGAACCTCTAGGTCAGTATTGGAGGACTTAAGTGGATTAGTGTTTGTCAATTCTTCATAAGTAAATGTAAATGAACTGTAACTTGTTGGAGCCACTTTTGCATTATGGGCTTTGAAGAAAACCTCACCCAATGGAAATCTGTGGGAATCCTCGACATTTTTCACCCACATGATGTCCATTTTCACAAATATGCCAACCTGAATGCTACAGCAAAGCAAAGAACCTAGGGTGCTTTTTCTTTTAATTATAAAAGAAAAAGAGAGAAAAATGATCTCCAGACTCACTTTATGGGATCCAGTAACAAGTATCAGTCAAGACTGGTACCTGCACGTCAGACCACAGTAAATTAATTACCACCAGAGATTTTTGTGAGGGAAAACAAAAAAAAAGAGAACGCTGGACGTACAGACCTTGAGCATGACGGGCCTGTCTTCTCCCTTGTCCAGCGGTATGGAAGTACTATGAACCCAGGTGTTGGTACAGAGGTGACGCAACCGCACGTAGGAATTTCTGCAAAAATCAACGCATCACTATTTTCCTCTCAAATCCAAAAACTCATTAACTGAGCAAGGCCCGACCAGTTTGCACAGCAGAGGGTCTGTTCAAACAGTGGTACGTGGACAGTGTAAGTTTCCTTCACGGGCACTCTGAGGATTTTTTTTCAGGGGGAAGCGGGGGAACCATTTTTTCTGAGAGAGGGCAATTCTGGGCGCAGGTAGGAAACATACCTATCAGCTAAGCACTGATAGACCCTGAACACTGGAAAGGAGTTAACTTGATTTTTGTTTTCAAAGCAACATTGGAATTTTCATTTCTTCTCATTTCTTTTTTTCATTTCTTTCACTTTGTTTTTTTTCATTTTCTTTTTTTTTTTACCTAAATTTATCCACCCCCTCCCCCATGACACAAATGGTTTCTATCCAGCAATGTGAAATGGTTTATTATATGTTTCCTTACAAACTGGCACTGAAAATGTGGAAACACTGAAGTTCCACAACAGACTATTTGAAGTTTGATATCAAGGCAGTAAAGAATCGGTTACAACCAACATATGCTCGAAAAAAAAATTCTTCAAGTATTTAGGGATGGGTTAGGCAGCATTAGTGTGGCAGAATCCACTTGACTGAATGTAAAAGAATTCCAATGCAATCTAAGGACTTTAAGTAAAATCAGCATGGTTCAGTGGATTATAAATGCACAATAAGAGCAATAGAAATAGATCCTACATGAAAAGCCAGGATGGTGGAAATCGGTGACAAGAGCACTAAATACTGTCTTAAAACTATTCCCAAATCAAGTACAGTAAACTCTTAATAACTCAAAATCAGTTAACTCGAAACTCCACTTATCTCTCAGACATTCTTCATTCCCGCCTAAAGAATAGGCTTTTATGTACAGAAATACCTCCATAATTCAAAATGTCCACACCACTATATGCACTTAACTCGAACTTTCTGAAGGGCCAATCAAAAAAGACTGTCGACAAATCACTGACAATAAGCGGACAAAGAATGCCAGACTGTCATCACGAGTCATTTCTGCAAACCGCACTTCGTCTTACGAGTGTGCTGGCAGCCAGGGCCACTGTCATCAACTTGATCGTCGCAACCACAGCCTAAACAAATCCTGGCTTTCAAGCAAACCTGATTGCTATCGCAGCCAAAATGTAACTCCCACATTTGTAGTCCAATACTTGATTCTTCATGGTGGCCACACTGAAGAAAGTTTTGTGTAAAGCCTGTTTGCTGCTGCCTGCCCAATTGCAGCACTCGCGTACCGCTTATGTGCTGACTGTCCAATCACAGTCAGTCTGTACACGTACATGTTCCCTGGACATGCATTCCCGGAACGGTGCTGGAAATGCTGTTTTGCTTCACCAAATCTCACTCAAATTTTTTTTTTTCAAAAAGGTAAAAATGAATGAAAAGTCAAACAAAGGCACAAAAAAATATTTGTTTCTTTTTTTTTTATGTTCGAACATTTTGAAATGCAAAATATTGCGCCCTCAATCGATTAAAAAGGAATGATCATGTGGCCAAACAGGAAAACCCCAGGTCCGGCCGGCACCCCGGCTAAGCGAGCAAGCACAGGGCCTGGCTGCACACAGTTTTGATGGTTTCTGTTTTACTTATCAGTAGAATAGAAAAATTTAGGTCACGAAAACAAGAAATCTCGACAAACTGATTATGTTCACAAGAAACTTCTTCTTGGAAATAAATCGCTTGTAACGTGTCATCCACCACGGGGGCAAGTAGGGTTGCTTGTGCTCTGTGTGTGTCAGTGTGGGCAAGATTCAGGAACTTTCGTTAGCTTAAAATCTGGATAACTCGAATTTTTCTTATCCATTTCACTGAGGTTTGAGTTATCGGGAGTTTACTGTATCTTATTAACGTCTTCATAATCCAACATTGTAATTTGGCATATAATGGGTTGAAAATTCCATTTTTCAATGGCCAAACAAGACTCCACCTATGCCTCTGGATCAGTGAGGAGAAGCAAATGGGAAAGATGATTTGATCCTGAGGGGTTCATACCTAGGCACCATGGAGTCTCCGCCTTGTAGCGTGGTAGGATCCAACTCAAAAATGGAAGCAATGTCATTGCCATGGGTGATGGGGACCAAGTGGTACACGGTGCCGCCGTGGGGGCCGCGCAGCTTCTCTCTGGTGTTGTCTTTGGTCGTGTCATTATCCACCTGTTCATTCGTAATAGAGTATCATCAAGGGGGAGCCCAGATTTGGGGGGGGGGAGCCCAGATTTGGGGGCGGGGAGCCCAGATTTGGGGGGGGGGGGGGGGGGTGGAATTGAGTTTTTCTTTANGCTTAACTCGAACTTTCTGAAGGGCCAATCAAAAAAGACTGCCGACAAATCACTGACAATGAGCGGACAAAGAATGCCAGACTTTCATCACGAGTCATTCCTGCAAACCGCACTTCGTCTTACGAGTGTGCTGGCAGCCAGTGCCACTGTCATCAACTTGATCATCGCAACCACAGCCTAAACAAATCCTGGCTTTCATGCAAACCTGATTGCTATCGCAGCCAAAATGTAACCCCCACATTTGTAGTCCAATCCTTGATTGTTCATGGTGGCCACACTGAAGAAAGTTTTGTGCGTGCCGTTGCTAAAGCCTGTTTGCTGCTGCCTGCCAAATTGCAGCACTCGCGTACCGCTCATGTGCCGACTGTCCAATCACAGTCAGTCTGTATATGTTCCCAGGACATGTATTCCCGGAACGGTGCTGGAAATGCTGTTTTGCTTCACCAAATCTCACTCAAATTTTTTTTTTCAAAAAGGTAAAAATGAATGAAAAGTCAAACAAAGGCACAAAAATATTTGTTTCTTTTTTTTTATGTTTGAACATTTTGAAATGCAAAATATTGCGCCCTCAATCGATTAAAAAGGAATGATCATGTGGCCAAACAGGAAAACCCCAGGTTTGGCCGGCATCCCGGCTAAGCGAGCAAGCACAAGGCCTGGCTGCACACAGTTTTGATGGTTTCTGTTTTACTTATCAGTAGAATAGAAAAATTTAGGTCACGAAAACACGAAATCTCCACAAACTGATTATGTTTAGAAGAAACTTCTTCTTGGACGCAAGGAAATAAATCGCTTGTAATGTATCATCCACCACGGGGGCAAGTAGGGTTGCTTGTGCTCTGTGCGTGTCAGTGTGGGCAAGACTCAGGAACTTTCGTTAGCTCAAAATCTGGACAACTCGAATTTTTTTTATCCATTTCACTGAGGTTCGAGTTATCGGGAGTTTACTGTATCTTATTAACGTCTTCATAATCCAACGTTGTAATTTGGCATATAATGGGTTGAAAATTCCATTTTCCAGCAAATGGGAAAGATGATTTGATCCTGAGGGGTTCATACCTAGGCACCATGGAGTCTCCTCCTTGTAGCGTGGTAGGATCCAACTCAAATATGGAAGCAATGTCATTGCCATGGGTGATGGGGACCAAGTGGTACACAGTGCCGCCGTGGGGGCCGCGCAGCTTCTCTCTGGTGTTGTCTTTGGTCGTGTCATTATCCACCTGTTCATTCGTAATAGAGTATCATCAAGGAGGAGCCCAGATTTGGGGGGAAGGAGGGGGGGTGGAATTGAGTTTTTCTTTACATAACTTTGTTTGGGCCTTTCTGAGGGGTAAGGCTAAATTTGAGGGCTTTTTACTTGCCTTAGGTGAGGAAATAAAACATGCTCTCCAAAATATTGCCTCGTTTTCATTATTTTTATTTTTTAAAACTTTTTACGGGGTGGGCTTAGGGTAAGGGGGAGGGGCATGGTCACGGTTGGCCCCCCCCCCCGAATCTGCCAATGAATGCATCAATCTTGATATCTAGTAATACAGAGCTTTGGACCTGTGAATGGATATGGTTTAACCACGGCACACTGGGAGGTCACGAGGTTTGCATTCTATTTGATCTGGTGTGACGTGATACACAGTTTGCTGTCCAACACAAGTGCACACAGCACATCATTAGTGACTGGGTATGCATGAAACACATCAAGTCTAATGTATTTCTACCTGCCTCTTTGTTAGTTCATTGCGTTATGATTGATTGGCTCGACGAAGGGTCACCTGTGTCATCTGTGCGTGCTTCCAAGGCAAACAGGACATTTTCATTACAGACCGCAATCCAGCACTGCCCTTCTACCCTTGGCGACTGGGACAGTTCTGGCGAGCTTAATGAATGCACACGTGTACAAGATGTGGAAGATCGTCACAGTGACTACATGGCCAGTAGAAGGTATGCCCAGCTCGGTAACAGCACATGTTCCACCTCCATCATTGAATTTTGTAGTTTCATCCAGGATCGAATTTGTCCACATTTCTAAACAGTGGCATAACTAGGGTGCTACAGCTGAGGGGGCACCCGGGGGTGCACAATTTTTTTTCAGGGGGCAATGAAAATAATTGAACTTGGTATATATGTTTTTGTCCATGGGGGGGGGGACACCAGGGAGGGGGCGCGGGCCTCCGTCGGGGGGGCACGTGCCCCCCCCATAGTTACGCCACTGATTCTAAATGACACAAAGGCAGCCATACACTGTGGACAATGAAACTTGGGGTGATCAGAGACACAGAACCACAGCACAGTTTTAGTATCTGAGTCCATGTTTGCAATTTCCAGTTACCATGCTTACACTCGTGCAGAAATACCTAGGCAAACTTTGAGAGTTTTGTTTGAACAGGTTGAGGCTGCATCTGAATCCCTTGTCTAGAAGCTAGGTCTAGGTCTTCACTCCATTAGAAATGCATGGAGACGCATAGAGCCATAGCTCTGGAAACCCGTTTTGGGCACGGCCCGACTTCCAAATGAATACAAAAGGTCTGAAGGGGTCCTACCTCTGCCGCCATATACTGGCCCGTGGCAAGGTGCTTAAACCGGAATAGGCTGTTCCAGTGGCCCGCCCCTCCACGGCACGGATCATGCTGAACAACCTAAATGTAAGAACAAAGAAAAATAGACATCAAAACAAATTATTACATTCTTTAATTTAATTGGTCAATACACCATTAGTAACAAAACAATTCTGTGAATGATTGAGGAATTTCTGATGCTGTTTTCTACAAACAATTTAAGACTGACATTCATCTTTATTTCTACCTGGAAGTGGCATAAATCAAAACCAGCACAAGACTTGGCAGAGTTGAAAAGGGGAGGAACGACATTTGAGAATAATCTCTGATACAAATCACATAAACCTATTACCCCTTTGTGGTACTCTCAACTATCCTGCCTGTTACTATCTTGAAGTCCTGCCCAAAATCACCCCCCAGCAATGTATGGTATTTTTGTAGATTCATCAGGAAATGAAACAGGAGTGCTAACGGATTAAAAAAAACCCAAAACATGATGATCTAGTGAGATCCCTTTCATCAAATGAGTCACAGTGAGAAACGGAATACGTATTTCCAATCACGTTAAGGCTGTGCAAAGACAACTGAACTGGAGTGGGATTTCAACTTGAGGCAAATGGGCAAACTGCCAACACAGGGCCGGATAGCTAAGTTGGCTGAGAGCTGGTGCTCTTTTCAAGAGGTTGCAGGTCCATACCTTGCCCTGCTCATTTTATGGGTGGTTTCAATGATGAACTGAACTTTAATAGTTTCTTCCCTCCATTGGAAATGAGCGGAGATGCATAGACAATAGACCTAGCCGTAGAACTGGAAGCCCGTTTCGGACACGGCCTAAGTACAAGCTGAAATGAGGGCGTCTGTACACATCACATCAGAAGACGGTTACCCCGGTTGAGCTGCTCTGGGGAAAAATGCCATTAGCAGCCAGCTGGGGCACCTAGTCACACCCTGCCGGTAATCTTTGCCAGCCAGTTTGCAGCCTATGTTCTTGATTCCTCCTAGCCTTGGCTCAAGACCAGAAACTCTCCCCCCCCCTCTTTTTTCCCCACTGGGACCGGTAATTTTGACACAGGAACAATCCCAGACAGGTCTCAGGGGAAAGGGGGGTCTGGGGGTTGAGGGGAGCTGGGAAACCATGTTACCCTATAACTAGCAAGCCTACCACCCCAACAAGAAAGCAGTGTTACCCCCAATGACCACACAAAACGTGGCCCATGACTCAGGAGTAAATGGGGACAAATAATAAGATACTTGTATCCCACCCCCCCCAATTACTTAAAACCTTGCTTTTTTGAAATATGACCCGGCTTATTCTTACTAAGGCGATAAAGCTCCGATGAATACTGGTATTCAATCTCTTAATAATTTCAGCAGTAAAACCAGCTTGGTTTGTGTGGTAATAGTTGATTCACGGATCTCTTTTACAATTGAAGACCCAAGGAAAAGGACAGGATCCGTGCCTCACATCTAACATCAATTTCAAAGCACAGCTACAGACCACTGACTGTCTTCTGAGGTTGTGAGAGCAGTTTCGAAATAAAGGTTGACAGGCTGATTGAAAGACCTCCAGACACAAAGCCAATTTGCTTATCTCACACATCATTTCATTCTGGCTGGCACGCACAGTCTTGACAGATGGGTTTGTTGGACAAGCTTCAGACAAAAACAGTGTAAATCCCTAGATCGACAGTAATGGTTCAGAAAGAGCCATCGGCAACCGACATGTACCTCAACTCTGGGGCATCGAGGGACCTCTTGCAGTAAGAGATGTCCTTGTGGGAAGAGTCATTGCCTGTTTTTCACTTTGACTTTGGCAAATAAAAATCTCCAGCAGTATGATTTTAAACCTTTCACCACACCTTGAAGGACTCTACCTAAATATACGACCACTGCATAAGTTTGATGTCTGTAAATTTAGTTTGAATGTTAATGGTACCGAACCGGGGGCATGGATACAGTTAATGTTAGATACGAAAAGGAAAGTTTGGGAAATAGCAGTGAGTGCAATAGCTACATTAACTGGGATATATACTGCAGATATATTTATACAGGATGAGGATTCCTGAGGGGCAATTTTGTACGTGTCTTATTGGAATACGTAACTACTTATAATTTGTTCTAAAGGCTCCGAAACTCATAATTTGAGTTTAGCATTTACAATATCTCAAAACAACTTATTCTTGAATGATGTAATCACAACTCTGAAACAAAAGTTGAAGCCAGGTGATTTTAGGAATCTCTTCGACTGTTCAGTTGAATTTATACCTGCGCAACACATACTGTACATGTACATAGAGAAATGTTTGCATGATAGTTCACCCACAAAAATGGGGGGGGTTTAAGTGCAATCAATGTGCAAACCACAAACGTTAACTGTCTGCTGCCTCTTCACTTTCGCTTGAAAGCCAGCAGACAATGTGCAGTCCATCCCAACATTAAATGGTTCAGTCATTCCCTCGGCCTTACAAATGAAACCATGGGGGTGGGAGTGATTACGAAAACCTGACTACTTCAACACAGTGCCTGTCCTTCCTACAGATTGCCGTCAGCTAGATCATTATCTCAGAGAAATTTGACGCAACTTACGTCCTTAGAAATTTAACGCGTGAAATGCAGTCTCTCAACCTCACAGTGAAACCACAAATCAGTCATGCCGATCGTGATAAGGTTGTAGTTTCATCATGATTCCTTCGCTTTTCTCTAAATATTAATTTGGATACAACACGAGAGGCTTCTGATGGGAATTTTATTATGTACATGTACATAGGTTTTCTTCTGTCAAAGCCACTAACATCTACAAGAAAGTCAAATTGTAATGTGCAACCAGTGCCAACATCACTACATTAAAAATGATTTAAATGAATAGGGAAGACAAGAGAGGAATTTGACAATCATTAAGTTGATCTAATGCGATGAAACAGTTTCATTAAGCATAGCGTTACGGGTGATCTCAAGGAGAGAGCATCATTTATTATCACCAACAAGAAAAGACTTACATTTGAAATATCAATTCAAAGTTTGACAGAAAATTATTAGGGACCCAAGCTTATGAGCCAACTTATCACTTGTCTCATTTCAACCAAGTTCATTGCTACATTTAGAATGAACTTTCCCCCAAAGTACATGTGAATCTTAAGGCAAATCCTCAATTCTAAAGATATTTCAGAGCTAATTACACAAGGCTGATGCCCCAACTCCAATGTCCGCCATGGGTGTCAGCCGGATTTTTGGGGGGAGGAGGGGGAGAGAGAAGAGATTTTTTCGGGGGGGAGGGGAACCCCTCGTCAGCAACACACTGATAAACCATTCGAAGAAGAAGGGAATCCATTTCAAGATATTTTCAAGCTGGTTGGTGATTTTTATCCCCTTTCTTGGCTACTTTCTGTACCTCTAGCTTTTTCTTTTCCTTTTTCCTTCTATGTTTTTCAGGGGGCATATCACCCCTGCCCCCGGAAGCCCATGCACACCCCTCTTTCCCAACCAACCCCGCATCTTCCAGTCAGAGGGTACAAAGTCAAGGCCAGGCCATCACCTCCGTCCCCCCCCCTTCCCAACGGAAACAAACACCTACTTTTGGTGCTGAGAGTTTGTTGTGGCAGCAGCCTGTGTGCGTCATAGACGACTCTGATGGCATTTTGGATAAGTCGCTGAATAGGACATTCAGTAGGCGGGTGTAGGAAACACAAGCTACCAGCCTCAATGACTTACCACTGGGGAATTTCAGCGTATTTACATTTTTTTTTTTTTCGTTTTGGACAACTGCTTGTAGTTATTCATTTCCGAGGGGTGAGGTAATTGCGGAAGAAGTCAATATCAAACACAGCAAAACTGCTTTTACAGCGACGGTCACAGGATTTCACAACCTAAACTAGAGACAAACAAAAAGTAGCATTCATTCCGAGGACAAACACTCGGGGTAGTTTTCAAACTGAATTTAAATAAAACCTATTTGTTATATCTCCAATAAAAGCATTTTTTTAACAACACCCACCACATTACAACAGATTTTTAACATTTTTATACATGGTAGAACTTTTATTTACAGCTGGGGTGTATAAGCATACCCCCCATGTATGAAAAGAAGGGAGTCACATGCTTTTTTGATCAGCAAGTCAAAACTTCCTTCTTCTTTTTTAAATTGTAAAATTCCAAAGATTTTGTTCAAAAACTTTACTTCCTTTTTTTCAAACACCCCCCAGCTATGTTATGGTATATTTTTGTTTTCTTCTCACAAGTAGTCATAAATAATCTCCTTATATGGAGATTGGCGTGCGCGTAGCACGTACTGTGTGAAGTGACGCACGACCAGCCAGTGCACACCTTTTATTTATCCTGAGAGGGTACTGTTGGGGAAAAAAGCTGAAAACAGGAACAGTCGAATGATTTGAAGGAAGAATCAGCAAAAACCATACATCTAGGGATTCTACCGCACACCTTTGAAGTCTTTGATACTGGAAATGTGGAGGTTGTAATGTTTCTTTCCCAACTGCTTCCCTCCAAAAATCCAGTGATGTGAGAATACTTTGGTGCTTTGGCAAGAGGGTGCTTGACATTTAAAAATTGTTCACCCCCTCCAACAAACACTTGTACTCTGGCATCTGAGCTCACATCTTAATCAACCACTTGACCAAAGCTGTGGAAATGTTTCGGGGTCGAGCGCTTCCTCACAAAGTCAAGGGGAGGGGCGGTGGTTTTTCTGCCAATATCCTTCATGACATTTCGGTTGGACTAATTTGCTGCTGTCGTATCGCTGGACAGGAAGAGATTGATGCGAAGCACAACACTCGATTTCTAGAAAAGTGCACTGACTCTTAATGAGCTGCGGAACCCCGTAATGAATCTGCTGAATGACGGCTGCGGAATGTACATGTAGCTTGTCCTGTTGAAGGGAAGGGGTTTAGTTTGTTATGCCAAAGCTTAGTTCATGTCTTCAAGAACAGCCACCTTCTTAATCTTTCTTCTTTCTCCGTAGGGCAAGCTTGGAATTCCAGAGAGTTCTCACTCGTGAAATTATCAGACAAATACTGTCCTGAATGTGATCACAGTCTAAATGTCATGGCAACAAGTTCATGCATCAGTTTTCAAGTTAGTCCTTTTTTGACGGAGCAATCTCAAACGTATCTACATATGTTTATTTCGATTATTTTTATAAAGTAAGACGTGTGAGGACAGCTAATATAACAAGCAATGCTTGGTGTATCTCTCTTTAAAAGGACTGTTTCACAGCCAGCAAACTTAAGGCATAGCAATCCTTCCCTTGATATGGGTGCAAGAGTTTTGAGTGATTAGTTACTCGGCGTACAATTTTTAGTTGCATGTAACTCCAGAGCACAAAACATAGAAGAAAGTAAGCCGTAAAGCAACTGTGCAGTGGCCAAATACTAGCCAGAAACCAGTCGCAAGTGTTACGCTTGTATGTGAGATCCTAGTAGTAATTCTTCAACAACGTCCTAAAGACTAGACCCAAACCTCAAGCCGTGTATCTTCAAACATTCTAAAGCTTCAGCAAGGACAATCCCCAGTATTTACAAGTTACTCTCCTTTTCACGTGGGTGAATATGTACAGCCTTTTCATGAATCCTTCCAAAGGGGTTATTCATGGAGACTATAGGCTTTCAACTTTGTCTGCTCAGCTTGAGGGAGGAGCAATTTGACTTATCCCTCCAGTTAGCACACTGATTATTTGGTCTGGACGAATTTCCTTACATTGCCAAGCCTCAAAGAGCACATAGGCCTACTCACGTGTAATTATTACCATGGAGAACACTCAATAACTTTATTAGAACTTGTCAAGTTCTAAGTCCAAACACCTTGAACTTAGAGTTCAGTTTTGATAAATCTGTGACCTCTGACCCATATCTAGGAACGGATGAATCATAAGCCCCCAATTAATCAGCAAAATTGTGACAAATGCTGTATTTTGAGCATAACTGGCACCATATCTGCAACTCTTACTTTGCAAAATGCAAGAGCTTCAGAGAAGAGGTCACAAATGCAAGAAACTGCGCCGACTCCCGGAGCTATTTTATGTCCCCAAACCAAGGAGGTAACCAGTACATGTATAAGCGTTACAGCTTTTGTCACATTGGATTTCCTCAACAAATTTCCCCTTTTTTGCTACGTAATACCTCCTTGCTATCACTAATAAGAAATTTACTCCTCTTCCTGGAGTGTTCTTCAAGAGGAAAGAAAAATTGTACTTGAGATAACTGACATACACGCACAGCCCTTCGAGTTTGACACATCCGGGTGTGAACTGCGATGAGGTTTTCAACAAAAACCTGTTATGCCCAACTGAATCTGAGGACAGCTTAACATAAAGCCAAATACATGTACATGTAAAAACACAGAGCAAACAGCAAAGGTGCAATTTTACTTGTAATGTATTGAATTGACCAATACTATTAGGTCCTTTAGCTTTGGTAGTTTCCTATGGTAAAGTTAATGCATTATGTGCATAATGTGATTCATGCGTTGCATTTGATGTCATTTTTATAAAAAGACAAACCTTGGCATATTTACCAAATGAGGTAACAATTTGTAGCTGCCAGTACCAACTTAAGTTCTGGGGTGTTCACAGTAAAATACGGTACAAAGCCACAGTACTCTGCCAAAAACATTGATACACAGTTGGTAGCCCTATACGATGATGACTTGACCTAAATTCTTCCACAATTAACAAATACCTGCTGTGGTTTTTTTTTTTCAAATTACTAATGGCACCTACCAGAAGTGATATAATGAGGGAAATCAGCTAGTATGATCAACAGGTGCAATCCTGGTCGCCTGGGGGGTGCTGTGTGCTGATGTGATTAGCCCAGGCAGTGCCGAAGTTCGTGTTTTCTTCTTAAAAGTTCCTGACGAGCACCCGCGTCTATCAACAGTGCAGCAACTTAGACACGTGTGATGGGTTTTCCTGCCGCTTCTTATAATGACTCTTCAGCTCTTGCATGTCAGTGACCTATGGTATTTTCTCAGATACATCTGATGCAGGTGTTTGGCTTATCTCCACAATTTTGTTACATGGATGGCTTCCTACAAGTGGCTCCTAGCGACTCCTAATCCAAAACCGTACTTTTCTGAAAAGGACATACTACACAGGATAAACTTTCACTTCCTCCCCATACCACATCTACCAATGACATTACGCTCTCCGCAATGCCGCAACACTGAATTTCCTGTGACAGCACAGGCTGACGGAGGAGGGGGTCTGTGCTTGGAAGTGCATCCGACAACCGTTATTGTTTCATTCATGCGGAGTCACCCAGCAAGGGTTTTTTTTAAAATCTGAGCTCAGCATGCTGCTGGGAGGGGGGGAAGAGATTACCGGGGTGGCCTGGCACCTTGCCATCTTCCTGGCTGGGTGCACAGGTTTTCCTATCCATCTGGAGATCAAGAACCTCTGCCTATCACAGCATCCTGGTTGGTGAATGGAAACAGCTTATCGTCTGTACTCATCTAGTTGGCGAACTCCTGACCTTACCCATGCTGGAAGCAAGCCTAATATTCACTCTTTCAATCTAGATTTGGTTTTGGCCTTCACCAATTGAAAACAAAATTGCTTTTGATGACAGACGGTACCAGGGGTCTGAGCTTGTTGTGAAAACAACAAATCATACATGTACAACCAATGACCATTGACTGGAAGAAATATGCACCTCCAGCTGGCTTTCTTTTTACCGTGGCTGCAGTCCAAATTATGATGAATAATAAATAAATGACGCATTCCTCCTTGATTTCTCCATTTATGAGGCCCGTAATATTCGTTCACATCCTGACTACCCAACGACAAAATATAATTTCCTCTTACAATGGATAATATCCGCAACCAGAAGAAAACACCCTCATGCTGGGTTTGCTGACTGAAAATACTGTCATTCCTCAGATCTGTAGGTAGATCTGATGGCAAAAATGCAAGGTTCCAGACGGCCAATTTAAATAATAAGGTTTCAGCTAAATGCATAATTTTTTTAACAGCCATTATCTTGGTCACACTGCTGGTTATTAATCACTAGTTTCATTTATCAGTATGGAGGGAACTATTCGCATGAAAATATTGTATGTTCTTAACTTTAAAAGTTGCAACCAAAGGCAAAAGTGTAACAATGAGATTTTACAAGAATTGTTCAACTAGAAATGTTCAAGTATAATTGTATTGCACATGTGCAATGTTAAAAAAGCAAGTATGTGAGGGCAGAACTATAGTTTGGGCCCAAACTTGCCCAACATAACAATGTTTTCTGCAGTATATGATGACAGAACCATAGTTTGGGCCCAAACTTGCCCAACAAAACAATATGTTTTCTGCAGTACATGAGGGCAGAACTATAGTTTGGGCCCAAACTTGCCCAACGTAACAATATATTTTCTGCAGTATATGATGGCAGAACCATAGTTTGGGCCCAATCTTGGCCAACATAACAATATGTTTTCTGCAGTATATGATGGCAGACCTATAGTTTGGGCCCAAACTTGCCCAACATAACAATATGTTTTCTGCAGTATATGATGGCAGAACTATAGTTTGGGCCCAAACTTGCCCAACATAACAATATGTTTTCTGCAGTATATGATGGCAGACCTATAGTTTGGGCCCAAACTTGCCCAGCATAACAATGTTTTCTGCAGTATATGATGGCAGAACAATAGTTTGGGCCTAAACTTGCCCAACATAACGATATGTTTTATGCATCGCTTTTTTCTCACCACCAACTGCAGAAGCTTATAGTCAAAGTTTGTAAATATTTGCCATTTGGTGACAGTGAAGACAGACTCCTGGAATCCTGAAGTGTCTTCACGATAAACTTCTCAGGGGAATTGCATGAACACAGCTTACACAACTGTCAAATCCAATCCACTTTTTAAATACTGCAAAAGAAAAAGACATGAACTCTGACCTCAGTTTCCCACAATGCCTTGGAGCTGGTGGCAGCAGTGGCAGACACGCGCCCAGTTGTTCTCAGAAAGATGTAGCTTTTTTTCCTGTACTCATCGCAGGTCAGGAACTTCTCCTGCTCAGCGTGGAAGAGTCGAACAACATCCCCCTGGTGAGAAAAAAAAAACATAAATTGTACGCCAGGTTGTCTAAAGAATTGCTTCTATTACATGTAATGCTATCTAACCCTTCCATAAGATTGCCCCATCCAAGACAAGAAGATCATCACTTCTGAAGGGGCAAAATTACCAACCCTAATGTGGCCTTTCCCTTAAGAGTGCCAATGATAGAAATGAAATGTGACAAGAATTCCCACCGTGGAGTTACTTGCAGTGGAAGGAGGGGGGGTGGAGGTCAGTGGCTGACTTTTTACAGGCCTTATAAGGGCGTGGGGCTTAATGGATTGGCTTATTGGCTGATGCTTGATGGTCTCACTACTGTCCCCGTCCTGTCTGAAAAATTGGTTCCACTGCCTGGGACGTGACAAATTGCAGCAAACCCCGACATAAAGACTGAACTGGGGAGAGGGGGTGAGGAAACAAACGATCAGCGCATTACTGTAACAGACAACACTAATCCTGGTCTTCCAAGATCCTTCGATACCGTGGGGGATTGTTTTGCGAGAGTTTGCTGGATTGAACACGGCAGAGCCAAGTCACTGTTGTTTCATTTAAGATTTGAAGCCCTGTTGAAAGTTTAGTATAAAGCGATTGCCCACGGGGTTTCTGAACAAATGACTGTGATGGATGATTCAGAAAAGTTCCTGGGAACAAAACCGGCCAGGGAATTGAGGTTCAACCATACCCATAAATACCTCCAGCAGTTTGGCAAATCCCACAGGTTGAAAGCCAGTCATGTGAATTGTATTAAACATTAGCCTAATTCCACTTCTAGTCCATGATTTGTCACAACCTGCCGCTAAATCCACTGCAAGTGGAACATGCTTCCCTTGAGCCAACTGTGCTACATGTCCTTAGCAATTCTGAATCAGATACAAGTGCATTTCATGTGGACCAAAATGGTTCACAAAAGAAAAACATTACCAGATTATTAAAGTCCCTCAAAAATTTAAAAACAAAAGACAACATATGATGAGAGCAAAGCCCTTCCATTCCTTACTGCTACAGTAACACCGCACATCTCCATTTGCACCTCTGAAGGCCACCAGTATTTCACGAATGTTGATACATGACAACAAACTCCCAGCATCCTGCATTGATTTTTATTTTTCTCCATTTGAGGCTCGCTCAAGGCTGCACCATCAACTACAGTATGCAATTTTGTGAAAATTAAATCAATATTCACTGAAAAGGACGGGGAGGGGACAAAATGAAAGGTTAGTGGCAAGTGACTCAGCATTCTTGGAGCACATGCACTTTGCAAAGCAACTTGACAAGGTGCACAAATTTGTAAAGAAGCAGTGATACGGCAATAAATAGTTTGAATTCCAAGGACATTCCAAATGCTAATACATCCTTAGTTGTTTCTGTTGATTTGCATCTTCTATTTTGTCGTCTTTGTCTTTTACGATGGATGTATGAAATGTGGCTGACAGTGCTGGCAAAATTGACAGGGAAGGCATGATTTATACTTTAAAAGATGCCATCCCAAAATTAGTTCAGCTTTTTGGTTTATTTTGTTTTTGATGCCAAAATAAAATAATAAATTCCAGCTTTTGATAATATAATTTTATGGAATGAAATTGGTTCTTAATGTGCTAAACTGCGTTGCTGGACTACAACAAATGACAAAGGATTTTTTAGTCCTTTTACTTCAGCCAAAACTCAGGAAGAACAGGATTAACGGTGAAATGATTGTTGAAAGTGAAAGGGGCACAGTTTACAATGAGCAACGTGCGTGGGCATGACGCCTTTTCAGATGAGGGGATTTCCCTCATTTTGCAACTTCACAACACACTCAGATATGTCCCACTCAAAGAATATACCCGAAAGAAAAAAAAAAGATTAAATGACATAACTGCTCTCTCGGGTGTTTGTTCACACTTGGCTCGATTTGAATTAAGACACTCCAGGGGGAATTGTCCTATTAAGACTGCACACGCACAATCGAAATAAACCAATCACAGAACCTGAATACAAAACTGTGTGTGCACAACCTCCAAGGCATGCTAAAGTCCACCATGGAGCATTACCCCATATTTCCAATAAAATCAACAAGGATCTTTTTTTAAAGCTATTCTGATGTCAGTGAACCTTGTTAAGGAGGCAAAACAAGTTGGGAAAATTTCCATACACTGATCATGCCTGAAAGCTAACTATAGCACCAAGTCAAGCATCCTACTCATTCTTTTGTACACAGTGTAAAATGGGCAATAGTTCACTTTCCTCTAACGTAGGCCCAAATCAGGTGGCCTCAACAGGCAAATTTGTCACAGGGTCCACGCACAATTAACACAGGGACTGAAAACTACTTTATACCTTGTGAAACCAAGAAATCGTGTCTCTTATAAGCTCTGTAAGAGGCTGAATGATGATGGGTCCTGGTACCAAGGAAAGTCTCCCACCTCAAATAGCATGTGGCTCACTGGGTGCCATCCTCTACAGTAAACCGGGCTGTTAGTGTATCTGTCCACCCGTGCAATCAAGTAGTGCCATCTAGGGCACACTAGTGACACATCTGATACACTGATGGGCCTCCAAAAATGTTCAAAGAGCTGCTCAGCCCACAAACTCAAGACGAGCTGGTATTTAATAACCAAACTATCACATACTGTGCATTTCCCAGCAGACTGAAGCTTTGCTAAGCAGAGTATTCTGCTTGACGAAATTGGAGCCAGTCCCCAGGCAAATAAACTAATGATTCAAGTTCAAGTCTTTTGCATTGTCTCTTCTGGGTTGTTTATCTGGTGTCTTTCTTACCCCTTTAAGAACTTCATCCAGGTTCTCCTTGTGCTCCATGAATAAGGAGACCTTCCAGCAGGTGTTGCAATTGACAGAATTCACCTAAAGACAAAACAAATATAAGCCAAAAATCAGAACACAAAGTCTACAGAAGAGCCTCTCAGAAAACTCCTTCAGAACTTTATGTTTAAATTCAAATGATGTATCCGTGTTTCCATGGTTACAACCGGACACACAAGGAACACAGATACTGTCTCACCTTACTAAATACAGCATCAATGATTTCGACATATAAAAAGCTTTGGGGAATTTATATGTTATGTGAGCAAAACATAGGATTTTTGAAGCTGAAAAGGTGATCACGTACATTGCAATCGCCAATGCATTAGCGTAATTCCAGAAATCAGTGGTCCATTTTTGTTCATGTCCCTGTCGCATCTGACATACGATTTTGTAAGTTCAGAACAGATTTTCCAATTTCCAAGACTGATGAATTAATGCAAATTACCTGCCAAACAAATAGTAGGCTAATAGTTTGAAATAAATTCTGGTGATATTTCCATGTCAAATAACAAAGGTCAGATGTAACAGGGACACAAAAATGTCACACTTTTGGACCCCTGATTTCTGGAATTACCCATTAACCAGGTGCTGTACAGTTACATTTAGGGCCATAAGGATTAATATTCAGGATGCATGTAAGTCTTGAGAAAAGTTGCTTGCTTAATCGCAGGTTTTAATGGTTATTTTATCCGACACTGTAAGCAATGTGCATATCACATCGAGATTCTCATGTACACATACACAGAATTCTTTATCTAATGTCCTTTTATTCTTGTACACAGAAAGAACCAAACTCTTGCATTTGTATTAACAACATACAGAGTTACCAAACTCTTGAAAAACATTCACTGATGAAGAGCAGGTGTATAGATGCACCTTCCTTAATATGATACTGTCAAACTCAAGCACCGCCTGAGCTTGCAGGCAATTTTGGTACAATCAGGTTTGAAATGAGAAGGCATTCACTGAAAGTGAAAGTGTAAACTGGTATCTAACACTGTCTTCAAGAAAGCACTGAAAAACTCAGCTTTGTCGGTTTGTACAAGTCTGATGGTTCCAACAAGCAGCATTAATTAGTATTACATATCTTGGAATTTAGTGCAAACTTATGTGGAGTTGCTACATGTACACTGTACAAGTAACAACACCACCAAGGTGTTTGCCGTTGTTTATTGCCCCGAGTCATAAAAAATGGGTATTGACCGTAAAAAGGTTACATTCAATGACTTACGAGACATGTTCAGAGCAGGGTAGCATCTGGGTGTGAAGGGAAAAAAAAAAGAATTTGCTGGCACCACCTGACATTTAGGGGCAGAGGTAACTGCATTCCCTTGAAATGTCTATTCAGCTCAATTTCATTTTTGTTGTCCAAAAGTAAACAACCACTGCTGAGGTTGCAGCTGAAAGGTCATTTGACATGGTGAGGAAAAAACCATGAAGTAATCTGGTTTATGGTCTGGTCTGGTCTGGTTTATGGTACATGAGCAAGTCAAGTGGCCTTCTCAATCTAAGTGCCACTTCTAAGACATCATTTTCACTTTTCTGCACCTGAATCCCAGTTCGTATTTCACAGGATTGCAAGTGGACATTGTTTTAAGCGAGAAGTGAGCATTTAAATGAAACTATTGAGGTCGACGACTCACAACTTGCTTCATTTTCACTTCTGTGCGAGTAAAAGTGTCAATCAACTTTGCAAGAAACAATTTTTTTCATAGTTCTGTCAATATCGAATCACCAATGACGTTACAGTCTGAGAGGCAAAGTGGTACAAAACTAGAATCACAAGGTCTGTATATTAAAGCAAGGTGCATGCAAAACCTGTGGTTTAGTAAGAATTCACAACCACTCAATTTGCCATGCCATGACTTTGAATTAATGAATAGTGTCTACTATGGGCATGTGACTGCGCGGCTATTTGTTCAAGCATGCTTGGAAATCCATCAGCTTTAGAAATCACCAAATGACATTTAGAAAATGCGACAAAACAAGTAGCACGAGAGATATCATCGTTACCACTTCGAGTGCTGTTCCTGACTGCTTTTCATTAACAGTGAACAGTGTGATAATGCATACAACCCCCCCCTCACCACCTACAGGATGTTCTGGTGTTATCAAATCAAGTACTACTCTCATCATCACTACCGTGGGTTGTTATTGACTTGCATTGATTACATACAGTTTGTCCAATTCTTTATCTTCCCAATGGAAGTTTTTTTTAACAATTCCCAGCTCTCCTTTGAAATGTTACAAAAACTACACACATACAGAAGCATCAGAGCGAGCGCAAACTGAGTGTGCAGCAAATTTACTCTCATAGACAGGTTGTCGAACCAATCCCTACATGTAGATATTGAGTACCCACTCCACAGTGACAATGCGGCATGCACAAAATCAATGCCACAGTTGTTCACTGAAAGGGGACACAAAGGTGCTCAAGCTTGTGCACATTCAGATGAAAATTACCACACTTTGCCCAGTATGTGTGTAAACCAATGAACAAGCATGTTATTTCTTATGAGGACCATTGAACAAATGAGGTTCACATTGTGCAGGCAGCAAGGTCGTCGTGTGGACTTGCACAAGTCAAAACTAGGCTTCTTCCCCTCTGAGGACCAGTTTTAGAGGACCTTTGGCACTATGGTTATCACTTGTAAAACCAGCTTGAACCAAGAACATTAATTTATTAGTTGTTTGTTGTTGATGGTTTCCTTTTAAAACAGTTCCTCTACCTTTTGCTGCAGATAACCCTAACCATAAAATGCCTTAAATCCCGCTTTTTTCAGAGGTGGGAAATGTTGTGTGGACCAGGGTGAGTCCACACAACTTCTTCACTATCTGCACTGTGTGGACATCTTTTGCTAGTCCACACAAGGAATAGTGCGCTTGTACATTTAAGCTCAGCATGTGCGGCACACGGCATCTCTCACTAGCTCTCATTCACTGCCACTTCTATTTTTACACTGAGTGTACAGTTTATTTAAGCTCACAAACACTGTGACAGTAAAAGTATCCTGCCACATTTCTCATGCATACTCAAACACTTCCCTGCCCCTTTGGGGGCATCGCAAGCGAAGGAGTTAAGCTTGTTTTTCCTCTCTGCCACTATGCATTTCTTTGCAAACAATGCAAAGAAATGCATGCAAATAATGCATAAATCACAGTCCAAATATCCTCGTTTATTATTATTTGCAAAGGCCTTCAGGGGTATGTTCTATCTCCACAAGATATTTATCGTGGTTTGTGATCACTTGGTCTCTGCCAGAAGCCCCTAATCCTAGTTCCCAATCTGAATAATTGCCTTACGAAAGTGACAGGTGAGTTTGATAATGCTGTCCTGTTCTACAGATATCCTTGCACATCAGCATTAGTGACTGCTTCATTGGAGAAGAATCACAAAATCAAAGCTAACATTTGATCTGACGGGGGAACAAGATACTATTGAACAAAAGACCAGTTCACTGCCCTACTATATACATGCACATATACATTGCAGTGGGCGGATTTACATTTTAGAAAAAAAGGCTTAGTAGTAGGTGGCAATTTTTTTTTCACTCCCAGTAAAGTCCTTTTTCAGTCAAAATTAACAATAAAATTACCCATTTTTATCTAGATGGTAAAATTGAAGTCAACAAAGGGTATAAAAAGACGGAAGAAGGGATGGAGGCCTGAGGCTTAAAATTCTATTTATCCTCAAAAATTTGTTTCATTTAGCAGAAAATCAGGATTTTGCAAACCTTTGTGAAGTTCCTGAAGTTGCCTCATTATTAAAACAAAAACGTGTCCTAATAAATCCATAAAGTAACAATTTCTACAACCCCCCCCTCTAAAAAAAATTGCTATGTCTGTGACATTCTTCCATGTCAAGATCATACCTCTTTACAGCCGGGGTTGTCAATCAGTTCATAATTACTGGCGTGCAGTGGCTGACCTGCATTCACTGGGTTCAGCACAACTTTGTCACCAACTACAACCTGGGATGAAAAAAAAAGGAACCAATGAAAAGTACTGCAAGAATGATAGCCTTTATTTTCGGGAAAAACACAACAACCAAAAAAAACATCCAAAAACAAAAGACATTGCCCATTTTGACCAAAACTTAGGCTGTGTCCGGATTACTTGGCTGTCCTAAAATTAGGCAACCGTCTACGGTAGTGGCTGTGGCAAGTTCCCATAGAATTGTGTGAAATTTCAAGCCAAAGCCAAGTGATTCAGACACGGCCGGACTTATGTCCCAGTCATACAAGAAGACATGTGACATCAAAATCTCAGACTCAATCATTTCCTTTTTGTTTTTAAATTGGAAACAACAGACTATGGGCTCCTTCCTCCCATCTTTAGGATGGGACACAGAAAAGTTAAATGAAGTGGGTTTTTTTTCATTATTAAGTTTTATTTCATTCATCTTTGTGTATGAGAAATCCCACATGAGTGTGAGAGCATAAGAATCTGAAATGTGCGAGTCTCACACTCAACATGTGAGAGTTGGCAGTCCTGAAAAAAATGACGGCCAAAACAAGCATCTTGTCAGTATCAATAGCTCAAAGCCAAGTCACCATTAAAAATCATTGAGTAAATTTAACGAACTAGATGTACATGTAGTCAGTACAAGAAGTCTGTAGGAGAAGTTTGACCAAACCAAAAGCCAAGACCACTGTGCAAATAGCATGCAACATTGAATACTAAGGCGGTGTGCACAGAGTTGGATGCACACCAGCCCTGGTTCTTTGGATATGATGAATTCACCGAGCGTCGACCGCTGAATCCAAGAGCGTACAATTTGTTAAGCGTCTCAGTGCCTTTTGTGGCTTTCACCAAGGACGGGCTTAAACTGGTGATTAGTAATAACAATGATATCATAGCATTTACATCTGTAACGGTGTTGATATGTTATCATTATTCCAGCAAATAGGGCTCACAACATCTGAGCATTCCTGAAACCATCTCAGCTCCCTGGAGAGTATATCAGTCCGATGCTGCCATACAAGGCAAAAAAGCCTGTCCTCACAGGTACCCATTTACTTCTGGGTGGAGGGAGGCACACGTATAGGAGTAAACTTGCCCAAGGTCGATCGCAACATGCTGCCACCAGCTGGATTTGAACCCCTGACCCTATGATCGGAAGCTACAAACCATACTAGGCTACATGTCCCCCTCATTCCAAGTAACTCACATTATCACCCGCAGATCTGAGCTTGTAGAAAGGAACAATGTAGAACCAGGAGCCCTCGTTGCCCGAGGAGTCCAGAGTCACCCTCATGGCGTTCTTCTCTAACAAGGCCGGCAGCCTCTTGTTGACTGTCATGTACTTGTTGCTCTTGATGTGCAGTAACTACATGACAACAAAGAAACCAGACCAAAAGAGAGTTTGACAGGCTTGGCTCAATGCCAAAAAGAAGGGGACCGTGTGGACACTAGTGGTCCTGCTGCATGCTGCAATCTAGATTGATGACGGTCACAAGTTTCAAGTGTAAACCTGGAACACAATCACCATGTAGTGAAACCTACACATCAAAGGATAACTCAAAATCAAAGAAAAAAGTTTGTGGTCCAACACAGAACTTACTGTGTTTAATATAAAAGCAATTGAACACTTCTGGCTGCATTCAACACTTTGGCAAAATGACTGTAATGTAATAATAAACTAGGTCTAAAAGTGAACATTGAAACACTACGTAAATTCATGAGGAGAGTCATTATTTGAGATTTTAATCCTCTTGAAATTGCTGAATATGACATACAAGTACATGTAACAATGTACATAGTACTGGCTAAATTATGGTAACGAAACTGTTCTTTTTATTATACAAGACTTGGAAAAAGGTTTTGTCCTCTTCATATCATTGAGTAATGCATAACTGTTAACTCTGATGGTGAAAACTGTCATTTTTTTTACACTGTTTAATTGTCTCTACATTTTTGGCATATAAACGAGATGAGAAAAAAAAGGCACACATATCATTACTGGCTTGCGTAAGTGCGTCTCGTGATCCATCCCAGATGAAACCGCAGCGCCCAGCACTACCCCTACCGGCAATTTTTCAAATTGAATAAGAAGTCATGTCTCATGTGTCCTTGGCCCGTCACCTGAGAATGTTTGTTTATACACCTCGGTAATGCCTGCAGATGCTCAAAAGCATTACTCAGGCAAAAAAATGCTGTCTTCTGTGGGAGGGCACCAAACCCAAACCCTGTCGTGCGCTGTGACAGGTTGATTAATACATGTTCTTCTATGACCACGTGTCAAGTCGTTAGACAATCAAATTATACCGCAGTGCGGCTTCTTCTCCAGGATTCTTTCCAGGATATCTTCTATGGAGATTTAAACTTTGTCATCTACTTTTATCCACGGAGGGATGGTGGATTTTTTGTTTGTCTTGTTCCCTCTGACTGACTGTCTGTTATTATTATACATAATGTAGTTAACATTCATAGAAATATTTGGGCAGCAATCAATGTAATTTACATGTCCACGCAAGATTTTTTTATGATCAGATATATTTTTCTCTGGAAAAAATTCATTTTTCATCCCCCCGACCCAAAACCTTAATATGCCACTGCATGTACATTTAAATTTCTCAGGCAACCTTACGATCCACAAAAAAAACCCCAGAATTCTCTATTTATTCTCGGTCCGACAGCGCACAGCTCCCTGAAATCTCTGTTCACAGACTCCTGATCTTTAAGTATGTCTTCTTACAAACTCCCAATACATTTTGTAATAAAATGAAAAAGGAAGAGAGACAGATTACATAAAATGACAGCCATGACCAGTGATACTGGACACATTACCTGGATGACGTTGCCATAGACAATGACACTTCCCATCAGCTTCTTGTTCTCCGTATCATTCTGTTTCTTCTCCATCTCAGCTGCGTGCTGAAGGAAAAAAACAAACAAACCTATGACAGGCACTGTCACAATCAAGTAACACCTAGGGGCAAGTCAGCTTGAGTAACATTATTAGGACTGAAGGGAATCATTTCATTGCTATTACTGGATAATAGGAGAGGTATGTGAAGCAAAAGTAACTGACAGCTGCAGGGGAAGAAAGGTATTTTGGGGGTCTTGATAGATTTGCCATTAAAAAGCCCGATCCCATTTAAATTTAAGTGCACATGTACGCAGTTGAGTGCCCAAGGTTTTCCAACTCTGTCGAAATGAAGTACCTACATGTAAATGTGTGAGTGTCAAATGTTAACTTTGTCACTTTTTTTTACAGTAAAGTCTGCCGCATACAAGAGCTACATCTGCTTTGCTGAGCAAACTGTCACTGAAGGCCATTTTTGTTCAGTACGTACAGTAGCTCAATTTCGGTCAGTCTTTGCTGTTTTCTGCCACTTGAGGCCATGAGGCAAATATCCATCATTTGATTTTTGTGAAATGACCTCGGAAGACAGAAAACGTAGTGACCATTGGCGACACATGGTGAGCTGCATGTTGAGCAAATGGCACGAATAACATTTTTCTCAGTAGTAACATGCGTCCATGTGCAAGGAAGTTTGCATAAAACGCAAAGTGTGATTAACATTGTATTACCTTTTGCTACCTTTCCGACTCCACACAAGTACCCACACAATTTTCGTTCATTTTTTGAACAGTAGCTTACAATATACAGTGCATGTACATGTACATGCCACGAGGGCATCAGATGTGATTGTCAAGATTGCGGAAGAGTCTGCTTGACCACTGAGGCAAAAGGTACAACATCATAATTGTTTCCCTTCAGAGTAAATGCAATTTGTAAGACCACGGCTGATGAAAATCAAATCCACTTTGGTAAATGGCTGCAATGGCCGATGATGACATAATCAAATTATCATTGCCGTTCTCTCCGAAGGGCTTCAACGTTCCCTGCTGTTAAATACCAAGATGGTGACCAAAAAAATCCATGTCTTGCATGGCATCTCTTTTGTCATGAACGCACATAGATTAATGTATTAAAAATGTATTGTGATTAACGGGCTTGTGGAAAGAGGCACATTTTAATCCTTTTAATTACATTCAATCTGGTTCTCCTTTTTCTAATTCGCATGCTTCAAGTGATTTTTTTCAAGATCCTCTATACATCTGTATTCATGTGAATCCTAATATGCATCTAAGCGTACATAAATATTCAATATATTCAACATATGCAGTAAATAAACATACTTTTAATATTTGATTTGCCATGTGAATAATTTTACATTTGTAATATAATTACTTTTACATTTTGAATTATTCATTCTAAAATTGTGCACATTTTCAAAATACATTATATAGCTTCTTTGAATATTTTCCAAGATATGTTTTCCACATTTCACAAGCCTGTCTTTTGCATAATTGACTCACAACTATCATTTTGAAATTCAGGGAAAACTGACAAATTAGATTCAAACCAGGAGGTTACTAAGTAGAGAATAACAGTATAGGTTTGGTTCATCAAAATACACGTAGTTGGAATGCTCAGTCTTCATATCCAAGGAAGCCTGGTGTTTTAGCTGGTTTTCACTTCCTCTTGCAATTCTGTACAATGTGTTACATTGTCCACTTGGCAATTCCACGAGATCCACTCAAGCAGCCATCGATACATCATGTTCCACTGATCCTACAATCCTTTAAATACAAGTCTGCATGCACATTGCATCAATGGCCCTGAGACAAGACAATCTGCCAGAAATTATGTACAAGTAATAGCACACTGGCAATGTTGTGCATTAAGTTTTGCATGACTGCATGTTATGTGTAGGAACCGAGAGGAGCCTTCCCCATGTTGAGGGGACATTTTTTTTCAGCAGGGTTCCCACAGAAATTAGAAAACCAAATTCCATGACTTTTGAGGACTAGAATATAACATTTAACACCACTTTACAGAAAACTGGAAGCCTGTGAATTTATCACTACCCTGTAAACTGTCACATCAAAAGTGACCCATCAAAAATAACCATTGTGTGATCTTACTTTCGAGACTTTTCCTGTGACAACAGGACTCCAGGACAACAAATTTTTTCCATTTTTCCCGGCCAGCTTCTTTCCATGACCATTGAAACTGTTTTGTACGGAAAGTCGGAAGTGAGTTGTAGGAAATTTGTTCCACAAGATTTACGACATACCTCAACAACCACAGAAAAAGGAAGCACGAACACAAACACACAAGTATGATCCACAATTAATGGTTCATCAGGGTTTTTTTCAAAACCCAAATGGGAGAAATGAGGCGTTCTCTACTTCCACATAGTTTACTTGCCCATGTAGTGTCCTACAATACAATCAGACAATGTGCAAACTGCTGATCTTGATCCACACTGAACCAATGCTAATATTTACAGTCTAATGCATCTTCCGTCTAGAGAAGGAAATATGGTAAGAATGTGTGAGAGACTTCAATTCATAGATAAATTTAGAATAAAAAATAAACAGTACTGTACCACTGCAAGATTTATATTATTTCCAAGACTGGAAATTTCTGGAACACATCTGTGTAATGAAAAAAGGGAAAACTGGGAAACATAGAAAGATGTAAGAAAACTGAACATTTGAGGAAAAACAAATGGTAGAAAGAAATTCTACAATTACACGTGCCAAAATTTCAAATTAGAGTGTGACCACATCAAAATACAAGTATTTCAAAATTTAAAGACGTTAAATCATGCTTTATCAACACGAATGAAGAGAAGTATAGTCTGCATGGACTGTGTGGATGTTGAACACTATTCCATGTCTTAATTAAGTTAGTTCTTTGCTTCCAATCAAACATGTATACATTGTACATGTATGTGCATGTACACGTACATGTACCTGCAGGTTACGAGTACCAGGATATAGATTTATGACCAATACCTCATTCACATTTGGTTGTAATTTTTAATCATCTGGAAATTCAAATTCACCAGATGGGGCAAAGTCCTTTGAGGGACAAGCAGTTGGTTTTGTTTGGGGGGTGGGTGTAGAATGATGGGGACATGAAAGCTGGATTAGGCATTGTTTGTTTTGAGTTGAGGGTTGTCCAGCGGGTAATGGTACGGTAGACTTCACAGCATGCATACATACACAAACCTAAGAAGACTTGATGTACTGTACATGCAAGATATGTGACTGTTATCCATAACATCAGAATGCCTAATGTACCGGTACTTAAACACAAGCTCACTGGGCTCTTCCATCACAGACTTTACAAAAACACCTGACAAATGTAAGTGCACATGCAACAATATACATGTACCAACAAACAATATAACGCACCAGTACCAGCCAATATAATTGTAATTTAGGCCACATGTACCAAAATTCTCAATCATTTATTTAACTTGGTACAACTACACACGTACATGTGCCCCACAGGTGCTGTCTGATACAGTTACAGATTAAACAGCAATCAGATGCAACACATTTATGTGGGAATTATTGCATTACTATTTTTACATTATATTATGTACATGTATGATGTAGTATTAATGAAAATGAACTTGTTGCTGCCAGAAATCAACTGAGAATTAAAAAAGAAAGTCTGTACTTTGTGTGCATAGAATCAGTCTCCTTGTACTTTTCAATTTAATGTGATTTTTGCTACAGATCTATCCGATATTGCCTTATCCAGGGCACTTTCAATTTGCCAGGGAGCTAAGTTGTCTCAAACCTCTTGGGAGAACCATCCGGTTGGTGAGGAAATCAAACGCTAATGTGCTGGAATGTCACAGCCTGGCTAGAGGATGCAAACTGGGCAGGATAGCAGGGAGGAGGGAATGGGTCGCCTGACTAATCATCACAACCCAAGTGGAATGTGCACAAACTAACTGATCCCTGTCAGCACTCGCACACCTGCAATAGCCCATCTGAATCTACTGGGGTGGGGGTGTCCAAGAGGGAACAGGTGCAGGTGCAGGTGCAGGTGCAGGCGGGATGAGTGGAGGGGAGGGGAAGGGTGCTGGGCTCCTCGACCTCTCCCTCTCCACCGCTGCACAGAAACAGCTGGGCAGCTTCAAAGGAAGGAGGACGCTAATACTGTGATGTTTCAAGGGATTATACTGAAACCATGCTGGCTTCCTGTATCCTGAGCTCAAAAGTAGGTCATCCAGGTGAAATGGGCTCGCTTGCCTTTCCCCTAGATGGTCACACTCTCCTGGAAACAGGGAAACTGCTGTTTTGGTGTGATTCTCAATGAGTGTGTACTTTATTGGAGAGCTTATTCTGTCCTCTTGATATATGTTCTATCAAGATGAGACTGGAGTCTTTGTCATGACTGATCAGAAAACATTCTGAATTGGTGATATCAAAACACACAATTAGGGAAAATATATACTAATTTAATACTAAGCATCCTCAACATTTTGCCAAGAAGCCCTGGTTTCCTTGTTTTAGAAACTTAATGCTAAATACGACTATTTGATTTTTTTCTTTCGTTTTTCTTTCTCTTTGTCACCATTTTCCAAAGTACACAGACATGTGTTGGAATGCATTTGTGATGCCAACGGCATTCCAACATCAGCATATATATGCAGATTTACACTTCTTGAGACTGGAGATAATTTGTGCGACGGAACAAATGTAGGAGGCCCAAAATGGTATGCTGGGAATTGAGATGTTGCCGAGGCCTCCCTTTGGCTAAAACTTTGCCTGTTATTCAGTACTAATTCTGGAGTGAAGAGAAATTTCATGGCCAAATGTGTGCCGGCACGGCAACCGTTTAGCCTCCGATAGGATTGGGGCCCAGGCATGAGCAGTAAGACCAGGGAGGGTTTAGACATGTGGGCAGGAGAACATTCTTCACTTTGCTGTCTCACCTGCAATTTCTTGAGCAGCACGGCATCCGTGGCTGATGAGACATTTGGCTTAGCTGACTTCCAGAATTGCTTCTGGGCTGTGTAGCGGTTCATAGGACATATCTTGAACAAGCAATCTAAAATCAAATGGAGTAAAATACCAGGGATCAATACTCCCCTCTGCATATTCTCTCACCATGATGTATGAACCAGTAACCTTTCAGATTTTTTAGTGGGCCTAAATGTTTGTGTTATAACCAGATGGGTCTGCCCCCCAAAATGGCAAGCTTGAAAAGCAAACATTTAGAGCTGAATCATTAAATTGTAAAATGTCAGCAATGGTGAATGACCCTAAAATCATAAGGATGTTGGAACAGTTAACGTTTCACTTTTTATCAAAAGCTGAATATGACACTCTGGTGAACCTCCTTCAAATGCTGATGACCAATGCTAATTTTCGAAGGCATTTGAGCCAAGAGACTGGGCCCTGCCTTTCTCAGTCCTGCTACATTCTCAAACCGCCTCCTTCCCCATCTCCCAAGGATTTGGAAAGATCACAGATTATTAGGGTTTATCCACTAGACATCATTTAAAATCAAGCGATGCACAGTGGCGTAGCTAGGGTTTTACTGGTGGGAGGGCACAAAGGGGCACTAGCATCTTATGGGGGGTACCAGCTTACAGTGCTGTGGTTTTAGGGGACAATTTTTTGTTAGCCTTGTTCAATATCCATTCCTCTTTTTTTTCAGTGGGGGGGCCATTTGGGAGCACAGGGAATTTGGGGGGAGCACGTGCCCCCCCCTGGTGATGCACATACACATGTACATATATGCTGCTGTGAAATATATCGGAGAGTGAATGAAAAGGTTGCAAATGCCTATTGCAAATGTACTTGTATACAATCATACCCCTAATGCTGCATTATCTGGACAGAGAAAACATAATTGTGACCCGCTCTGCAAAAAAAAGTACTTAAGTCGGTATTTGCCTTTAGGTGTACTGGGCTGTTCTATTGTAGAGAGGGTGAAAAATCTTGAAAAAAGTGATTTTTGATAAAAGTCATTTTTCACATCTTCGATACCTTTATTTTTAATGTCCATGACCAGAAATGTTTAATTTAATCAATAAACATGAAATAAGAACACATTTCTGTTGTGGGATTTAACCCATTGTGCTTCTTTTTGTTCATTCAAATGTAAAACAATGACTGACTTTACTCAACTAAAAACAATTTTAAAAATACCCTGTCAAGATTTTAGAATGATAGCTTAATGGGATCATCTCTGCTGCTAGGACCATTAAGCCTGAACACTTTTAACCCAATTGATTAATTAGACCTTATCTAAATGGCCTATTTCTCCTTTAGTCATTTCAAGAAATTTCTGAGAATGAATATTCTTCTTTCCCGATAACTCAAGAATGCAAATGCTACAGGCCTCAAACTTACATCAAATTAAAGCCTACTAAATGGTCTTTCCATCCGTGTGTAAAACACAATTTTGAAATTTTTTACCATAAAACCCTTTTTTGCAGAGTGGGTCACAATTACGGACAACGATGTCAACTGAATTCAAAGGGCATGCACCAATGAGCCATGAAATTCATTCCCTGGCACAAGAAAAACCAAATGATGATTTGACTATAATTACACTCAAAAAAATCTTGGCAAAGGTTGTGCAGATTTTCAGGCACACCTTCTAAAGGGAAAACAGTCTGTAAGCTCAATACACTGTTGAGGACTGCCACCCTTCTGTTAAATTTCTTGTGTCTGTTTCTCTTCAGATTTAAAAAAAAAACACCTGTGATTTATCTTCATTTAAGAAAAATTTGTTTAGTTTTATTCTATTAATTTACTTCCAGGCACACACAGAATATCAAAATGAACAACACTTTATAAAAAAGAAACAGGCCTGAGAATTGCCCGAAAGCGGCATAAATCACTCTATAAAGGACTACTAGGATAAAGATAAAGTTTTATAAGGGCTGTTGGGTCCCATATTTACTCAAGTTGAATGGCTCCTACAATGCAACATGGCAAGACATCACTGAAAAAGCTTTAAGACAGTAAGACTGCAAAAAAAAAAAAGATTTACAGTAGAGGCAGTGGTTTAATTATTAAATAGCAAGGGTTATGGTGAGTGGATATGATGGCAACTTCATTACATAGGGTTCTACGCTGATAGCAAACAGTTTCCACAATTGGTTTTATTACTATATGTAGTCGGTACTTAACAACAAAAGATTGTACTCAGGGCATCCTCGCCTTGAATTACATGATTACATCTACATGTCACTGACAGTATTTAACATGGTTTTCTAAAATGGTTAATATACAATACATATACATGTATATACAATGTTTGCAGTGTGCGCGCACTGAAGAGGCAGGCACAACTTGGAAGACAAATATTCTCCTCAATATTAAAACATTCTTCTTAGAAAATGATATATATTTGAAATTATAAGGAAGTGGATACATTGATATTGTATTTAATGCTTTGCAGTTTGCAAAATGCTTTTTACACAACACAGATGTCAGAGAATCCCAAGAAACCTTGATATATTTATGACCTAAGGATTGTTTGCAATTAATCAGCAGCAGGATTCAAGGGCCAATGCAGAACCAAATTTTGCAGGGGACTCAATATTTCCGGGGGGGGGGGAGAGGAACAAAATAAATAAGCGAAATTTTATTACGTAACCTGTCCTGGCCTTTCTTTGGGGTGAAGCTAAAATCAGGGAATTTCTACCCATCCTGGAAAGGAAATTTAACTATCCCACCACAATCACTTTAGAGTTTATTTTTAATTTAACGTTTCCTCGAAGTCTATCAGAAATGATCATCTGTTCATGCTTGCATCAGATATGTACACAATTAAAGCTAGTTTTGTCTCATGTATGGAAGTACCATGGGTCAAAATCGGCATGCATTGTGGGATTGAGTCCTATTAGCACCTATGTGAGTCCCACATGTACAATGTACAGCCGTAGTGTAGAATAGGACAGAACGATAGGTCAGGAATCATTCCAGAATCGAGATGATGATGAAAACAAAACGGACAGGTGCTTTCCGTTTCGTTGTTCCTAGTCAATGAATGTTCATCTTCAATCTTTGAGAACCGGAAGGGAAACTGCTGGGACACACGTTATTGTAATGGAGATTTACCAACCTGGACGTATGTACAGTATGTATGTACATGCACATAGTACAGTACATGTACATGTATGAGGGATGTTTCTTTCCTGGATGCATACATTTAGTTTTGCATACTCTACATGTTAAATTTATGCAAATGCAACCAACAGAACAATGACATGAGGATTCAATTTTGAAGGAACAATTTGATGTGCAATTCTTAACTACACTAAGAAAACTACGAAAAAAATTTCCACTTGGGAATACTTTCACAAAATTTCAAGAAGTTGAAGTAATATTTCTTCAAATACATTTTTGACCAAAAACGTTTCTCGTTTTGTTACATTTTTTTTATACTTAGAGACGGTCCTCTTTCTGAGAATCTCATCATTGAAATGAAGCCTTCACCTGCTGCAAATGAACTGGTATCATCCAACTTATTTACCTTTCAGGTAACAAACTGCAAAACCTACTGTACCAGAATTTAAAAAACTGAGACAAATACAAACAGCTTGATAAATGAAGTCCCTATTAAGTTACCCCCACTGCAATGTAACATTCATTACAAAAATGCACATTTCTGTTACTTTTCACAGCGATGTTTCAAGACAAGTTAGAAACCACACTAACTGTTTAAAGCATGAAATATACAACGTAGGTCTGCACAAAGTCAAAGGGGCCACTACCAACGCCCTTACTAGCTTTTTCTTCAATTAAAAAAAACACCCTTGACGAAGTGAAAGTGACAAGGTTCAAGGTGAGAGCACAAGACATTACTTAGACTGATTCCTGCTTTGGAGCCCAACTCTAAGAAAACAACCTACCATAAATGTGGGTGCAAGCTGTGTGGGATGGAAGTGAATACTTAAAAGAGTATTTCAAGCATCCAATCACTCAGCAATGATGGTCTATCACCAATAACACACATTTTGCGGTCTCGTACAACATAGGGTATAAAAATGTCACTACCTGTTGACCTAAAGTTTTAAGTATGCCCCTACTTTGTTTTTCTCTACATTCAAAATCATGAAATATATTACAAGATTAACTTTCATGGTTTAACTTGATTCACATACATCTACGGAACACGTACAGTGCAAACATAAGGTCTAATTTAATACTGATCCCAAGGTGCATGTTTTTATATGTATTGGATTTGCAATGAAAGCACTGTCAATTTGGGGGCGATTCCCCACTACTGATAAACAAGGTTTAGATGTTGCAAGTACAAGTACGTAGGGTAGTAACTGATGAACATGTCACATTTTAATTTCCCCCCCCCTTACCTTGTTACACTTAAGTGTAAAAAAAAGGCCTGCCTAGCTAACAAATACTGGGCTAAGATCAAAATCTCAGTTTTATCACGAAAACTCAAGGTCTTCAAAAATGTCACACTGTGACCAGTAGTTGATTTTGTGTTCCTCAAAAATGTCTGGCCATAATCAAGTGCTTCAGGCTTTCTGTACATTCCCTGCTGTGTCAGAGTGTTATACAATAAGCACAGTCACATGAATTACGGAATGAGGAAGAAGTAAGGCAGATCTGAAGTACACGTGATCTCAATAGTTAGCATGATTACATGGAAAGACTTCACTATCTATACTCCCTGTCCACATGTAGACACGAATGCAAAAATCTGGAGAACTATTGTACCTCCCTCCGATCACATCAACTAAATTGAAACAGCATGTATACCTCAATTCAAAAATTAGACTTGTGTGAGTGAAATTTGAATTGAATTATTTAATAAGAGATTGACAACAACTACTGAAGTCCACCAATTTCAACAGTGCATTATGCAGGCTGTGTACTTGTAGCACTCATTCAGTTAGCCTATTTCACTTACAACCACGAGGGACGTTGTGCTGTGCATTTTTACAAATATGCGCGTATTGTTTTTGTTTTTCCTCATACTTTTCTGATTTTGACTTTGGGTAGCCACTTACCTCTAAATTTTTTGGGTGGGTTGTTCAGGTCACCAAAGTCAGGCTGTACCACACACCTGTCATCCACAAGACTGAAAAAGGCCAGGTACAAAGACAACATTTATTTACAAAAGAAGATAGAGGCAGGCATACCAAGATGTAACATACATGCACATGTGCTCAACTGTGCTATCGCTATGTTATGGTTCTATCCTGCTCATGAAAAGCTCTGAACTTACAGGGTTCTAATCTAAGTTGATAGTGATACATAGCTTTCGCTGTTGTAGATATGAACAAAACAACTACTGCCACCTAATGAAATCTTCCCCTTTCTTTGTTTGCAAAGTTTTCCCGCGTGTGATCAATTCTCAACCCAAGCAAGAACTGCCTGTCCAAATGTGTCTTTGCCCATCCTCAGGACAGGTGGACAAAAGGCTGGATGAAATACCATCCCTCCACCCACAAGGAAGGAGCATGAATAACTCTCCCTCCCTCTTTCCTGCACAACAGCCCCCTCACGAGAATGCCAAATCTCACCCGAGGGTGCTGATGAACCCATTGACGCTCCCCTCGGCATAGAGAGACACGATGTCTCCAAAGTGTAGAAAGCTTGCTGACATCTCACTCATCTTGGCTCAGTTAGATTAGCAAAGCTCAGTGACACCCAATGGTAACATTGTTGATCACGTGTGCAACTATCGAGAAAGACAAAAGTCCAAAGAAAGGATAAATCCAAAAGACTTATTTGAAATGACTGTCTGAAAATGACAGTTAATAAAATATCCTGTTAGTAATTAATACAATATAAGGGTACAAATTTTTCATTACTCTCATAGACTGTGTACGAAACCAGCAGTGAAATCAGAATACTACATGTATAATATACAATGTGTTTCTTCCTTCTCTCCTTTCCTCTGTATGGAAAGTTGCCAAACTGTTAAAAATTCCACGTGTTACCCCATCATTTTAGCATACTCCCAATAGTTGCTTGGAAAATTGTGCACAATCGATACTTTGATTCAAAGCCTGTAAGCAGGGTTCAAAGGTGTGTGCTTATTTTCGGAGTTAAAAACCACCTCTAATTCACACAAAGATAAAAAACTTGGGACATATCACACAGCACTACCTACTTTGACTCGCACGCAGTGTGCTTTACAACCCTGTATATGATGATGAAAAAACCACCTTTTTTATGACAGCCTAATTAGCTGGCTTTAATGCTGGCTACAATATACTGTAGCACCTGACTTATTTATTACACTAATGCTATAAATCATTGTACAGTCAGGAACCATGACTGGTTGATGTTTTTTCAATACACCACCTTTCTGGGCACTCTACATGTACCTGCATCGAGTACAATGTCACTGCCCTCAATTCACTTAAAATACATATATGAAAAGGTAAATTTATAATATATATTTTCCTCTCCAACCAATTTTGTTCCAGATAAAGAACTGTGAATCTTACAGTTGGTTTTAAATGGCCTTAGTCAGTTATTCAGGGAAAAAAAAATATTAGGCCATGTAAAAAAAATCAGTTGGTGATCATCCCTTGTGCCCATAAAGGGAAGGTGTTTTTTTGAGGGACAAGAAATTTCCATGTGTTTAAATGACGGAAAGTTTATGCAGGACACTGATAAAGCGAAACCTGGTTATTAAGAGGTCCTTGGTCTATTACTTTGTTATAGCAGGAACCTTTACACATGTAACTACCCCTTCCATGGAACACTGCTCCTTTCTCTCTCAATACACTCGACCACAAATGGCATTGTGATTCAAATTTGAATAACAATTTCCAAGAAAAAGTCAGGACACACCATTAGTACGTGCGAGAGGGAAGTATGTGACACATACTCCCACGGTCTGTCGTTCAGGGAACTAGGCAGTGTCAGAATTCATTGGCTGCTGCTTGAATTCACACATCTACATGTACCTATGGTAGCCGCTACCTATCCAGCTGATCGATTTTCCATATGTTTGTGCATGCAGTCGCAGCCGCAGTCGCAGCCACAGCCACAGCCAATACTTCAGATGTGGCCTCGTCTGATTTATGGCGAGTGGTGCTGTTCCATTTACCACCCTTTCCCTAAACTGAATGAATCTTTGCCCTTTCCTAGTGTGCGTGTCCAATAGATGGAACAGCCATCGGTGGAGAATGAACTAGTGTGAATTCTCAGACCGAAGGGTAAGCTTAGGATTGTTTCTTGCGTAAGTTTGTTTGTGCTTTCTTGCAGTTTCCCCCAATTTGGGAAAACTTTTTAAAAATGGGTCGGAAGCATTTTGGAGGGTCAGGTGGGGATGACCACCAATTTATATTTTTACACGGCCTACAAAGCAATGCACAGTTTAACTAGCAGGATAGGACATAATTATACTACATTTATTTATTCATGTGGACATTGACAATAGTTAACATATCATGGACAATATAATAAACATACAGTGTATATAAAAAAATGTACATTGACACATACTTTGAATAGAACACACTGAACAACAAACAACTAGAAAAACAAGACTTATATTACAGTTAGTTCACTTATTTTGCAATGTTAACATCAGAAATGCCAGCATGGGGGTCTGGAGAATTAGAAGCCAGTGACTTTTAATCCTTCCATCCCAAATTCCCTCATTGGACATAGCCTAGCCTGATGAAACAGCAGTAGGATCACCATCTCTAACGCTGTCTGGTTTCCAGACCAAACAGACCCCGACTGTGTTTGGCATCGGTCAACGATCGGGAGTTAATCACTGTAGTAGACGAATTGCCCAAATCGAAACCAACATTTCACAGACTTTTATGAACCGGAAACTGCCAAAAGATATACATAGATCCTTACACGCAAAAGGGATTTCATAAAAGGCGTTTTCGCGGAGTCTCCACTGTTTGGATTGACCGTTTAGTTTTGGGGCCAAGGACATGAAGGATACGGAGGGAGTCCAGTAGACTGGCCCCCAGTCTGGGGCTAGACATAGGCCAACATGCCTGGCACCTGAATCAGCTGTAAAAACAGGCAAGACTGAACTCATTTGGCCAATCAAAGACAAACTGATGATGATATTAACAACCATGACTACTCCTGGAACTCTGGGTTCGTCGTCCGAGGCGGACGACCCTGGGACGACGAACCACAGAGTTTCTTGGTAAACATAACACTGCACACAGTCATGGCAATACATGTAGCATGACACTGTACGTCACACGCGAAACCACTAACAACACGTTTTGTCTGAAAACATTGTCATGTAAAGCTAGCCTCGCAAAAAGCTTACCAAATGCAGCTGCCTTTCGACGTATCCCGATCACATGAAAGAAACCCTAAATTTTATCTACACTTAAAGAAGCACAAACAAGCACTGAAGTGCAGCAAATCGTCTGCGCTTGGCCTGCGAAAGTGTCGAGTACTCACTACCTTTATGCACAACAGCCATCTGACCTGCCATAACTAGCGCTAGCAATATTTGCGGAAGTGCCGCGCAACACCCACGGCCATGATTGGATTTATACATCCGCCAAAGCAGCGGAATGATACTCAAAATACACCCCCCCCCAAAAAAAAATTACCATACTTTACAATCATTGAGCAAGACATAAAGGACTGACTACTATATAAATGAAATGAAGCTTTATTAAAACAATTTACTGCCTGGCTTCACAGCTGCATGACTTCTAAATTCAGTCAATGGCTCTATTTCTTTCAAAGCCGCTTTTAAAGACCAGATTTTGACGAGCGCCCCCTTGCGGTACGTAGCAGTGCAGTTAAACTTAACAGTAACCTGACTTTACACAGTATTACTTTGCGTCAAGTTAAATTGGTTACCAGCCTTTAGAAGAAGAGCAGACGACACGACGATCAAAATGAAGTTGCAAGTGAACGAAAAACGACTTGCAAAATTGTTTTTATTTCTCGCAATATTCGTGGTACTTGTTTGCGCTGATACAGATTCAGAAGTTTGCAGTAATTCCAAGGTTTGCGATTCCCAAGCAGGGGACTTGGAGTCCGGGAAAGACTGTGGCTGCTCTGCTAGTCGACAGAAAAATGAAGGCGAAGACAAGGCCATAAACTCTAAAAAATATAGTGCAGGATTTGATGCTGAAAATCAGGGAGGCCAGGGGAACGACCAATCTGCAAAGGATACCTTTGTTAGGACCAACCAAATGGCTTTCTTAGAAGGTGGACAATTTACTATGGGAACAGATGAGCCTGTCATATATGCAGATGGTGAAAGTCCAGCGAGGATTGTTTCCTTGTCATCATTTTATTTTGATGTCTATGAAACGAGTAACACTGAGTTTGAGTTGTTTGTGAACACGACGGGTTATGTTACAGAGGTAAGCTCCTTTTTTGAAAGTAAAACAGGAAAAAGATGTCGGTCGAACTCGCATTTACACATTTTATACACAAAGTCACAGCCACTTTCAAATGTGAGGAAAGAAGTTAAATTTACCATCATCATTTATCTAATAACAGGCTGAAAGATTTGGAGACTCGTTTGTTCTTGAAGGCAGAATCAGTGAAGAGGTGAAGAACGACATCACACAGGCTGTGAGTTTTAATCTTTTGAAGTTATTCTGACAAGGGAAATTGTGGCATTTGAACAGTTTGCAACATTTTGTCATGCCCTTTCCATGTTATGGTTTGGAAGAAACTCTGCCTGGGATCATCAGAGTTTTGGAGTGCCAAAAACACCAAGAAGTTTACCCTAGGTAGGTGCTGAACCTCCATTCCTTGTTAAAATCCCCAGAACTTATCAGGCACCCTTCATTAAACTTGGTGGTGTTTGTGACGCTCAAAAATTGTGGTAGTCCAATATGGCATATCTTCCCATCTTTTTGGCAAATGTTCCAAAGTTGGTAAAACAGTTGGTTCAACACTTTGCTTACGTTTATAGGTAGCTGCTGCCCCGTGGTGGTTACCAGTCAAAGGTGCTGACTGGCGACATCCAGAAGGACTAGACACTGATATAAAAGACAGGTGAAAATTCAGAGATATATGTAGGTTTGTGTTTGGGCATTGAGGCTGTGCGGGATACCTACAGCTCATGCACAAAACAAGCACATCATAGGTCATTCGAGAACAGCAAGAACGTTCAAGCGGGCATGATGTCAGGTCCCTTGTTCTCAAATGATGTTGCCTTTTTTCAGTCACAGACTGGTTCATTGGCATGTGGCCATGTCCAAATTACTTAGCAGTGGCTTGAAATCACTTACAAGCATATGGTAAAGGCTGCTGTTACTGGTTATTAAAAGGTCATTCAGTGAGTGCTTTGGAAGGTGGGTGGAGCATTTGAAGTGTTAAGCATCATGGACTGGCAGAAGCATTCGGACAGGAAATTGTATCCTATGTTGCCTGTCAGCTTCCAAGTTAGCTGAGATCTATGTGGTCTTGCTTGCGGTATATAGAAGACCCTCTAGGTTATCGATCATGAGGTTCACACCCTTTGGATAGGGTAGTACAGAATCCAGGAAACTGAAAGGAGTAGTGGGGATTTAATCCGGTCTTTTCGGCAAACTGCTAGCGTAGTCTGTCTAGAGTTTTCTGTCGAAGGTAAAAGCACTTCAAAAAGACCTTATTTGTTTGATGTTATGTGTTTGTATGGTGGTAAAACTTGATTAGCAAAGTTTCCCTTGCACCCCAACAAGTTATCATTTTACGGATTGTTGAGAATGTAGCTTACAGTAGGCTCTACCAGTTTATGGTATATATGTCGGAATTAGGGTAATGTTTGACAATAGTTTCTAGCCTGTAACTCTACATTTATCTATCATTCCAACAGGCTACCTCTGTAGAGTACGAACAGTTCGTGATGCTAGATACTTTGTACAAATAGACTTTGTGACTGCTATAGGCAGCCTCGTTCACCTTCCCTTACGGTGAAGTTTTCCACTGAATTGGTATTTGCTATGTACTTGATCTTCGATGCATGTTTTCTCAGAATGGACCACCCAGTTGTCCACATCTCCTGGAATGATGCTGACGAGTTCTGCCAATGGGCTGGCAAGCGGCTACCCACTGAGGCTGAATGGGAGTACGCTGCCAGGGGAGGTCTCAAGGGAAGGTACGACAGAAGTCACCCGCTAAAGTTGACTCCATCTGCGATTCTGTCTAGAATCCCTCTAAATTCTCCAGTTTGTGGCATAGTTTTGGTGAACTTAGACAAATTGGGACATCATTTCCTACATACAGTTACAGTAGCAGGGCTATATGGCAATGAACCCATCCAAACATAATGTGATGGCACAAATTCCTACCCCCCCCAATTGCCAGCACAAGTTGACATGACTGCTGCAGTGTGGCAAGATTGCAGATGAGGCTGGAATTTAACCCCGCACAACATTATTTACTCACAGTGTGTGATTACTCCTCAATTAATGACAAACACAGAGAGTGGGGCCGACAATAGGCCTCTGCACTGATGAGATCACTCTTTGTTTGCTCTTGTGTACTTTCCTATGGAGCCAGTGGGGGCCCAAGGTCCTCTGAGCTCCATATAGGAAAGCACACATAATCAAACTCTGGCTTTTTAACCACTTTGCGCCGGGACGCGGATAGAGCCGCCATAAAAATTGAGATCATCCTCAGCCTGCTTTTCAGCTATTATTCTTGGCCCATGCTCGACCGAACACAGTGAAAGAAGGCAGACCCTGGCTCTTGTGTATATGGTAATTGGTCTTTGTGTGTAGCCCAGAAATGAAAAGACCGAATTTGCATCATAATCACCAGCTTCACAATAGTCCCCACTTTGAAAAGAGGCAATGGGATTGTGGAAGCTTGAGTAGAGCCGCATGCCACCAAACAATGAGCCTTTTCACTGTGTAATTCAAAGCGTGCAGGGCCACAAAGCGAGAATCTGCGCTTTGGCAGGTGGCCTTCGTGGCCAAGCGAGGCTGGAATTCTTGGAGTCGGCTTTCAGGAAGAAATTCCCGTCGTCTAGGGGTTAACAGAATGTGCACAGTTGGCAAGATAAAATGGACTTTTAGCCAATATCACATTGTCTATACCAGGCAAGATATGGGACGGAGGGGTACCCTGCTTACCTGTCCAATCCATATACACACTCTAGACTATTGTTACCTAACACATCCCCCCCAGACGTCTGTAAAGAATTTCTGAGACTCCAATCAAACAATGACCAACACAACGGCGGGGGAGGTTCTCTCCGTCCCATATCTTGTTTCAAATGACATTGTCAGTGCCACAGGGTTTTGTGAAAGGGTCGAATTTGAGAGTCGGCAAAAATTTCTACATACACGTCTTGAGTCACTTTAATTCATTGAACCAAATCTTGCACCCAGATTGCACCCTTGGGGAAACAAAGAACTTCCCAAGGGGGAGCACCGGATGAACATATGGCAGGGGGATTTCCCTGTAACCAACACAGCGGAGGACGGCTATGAAGGAACTTGCCCTGTGAGAACCGTTTTTTTTGTTTTTGTTTCACTTACTATGCCAGGCCTGTTCAGAAAACACCAATGGGACTGTTTATTAGAATCATCGTTACAAAATATGTGTAATTAAACATCTGCCCATCATGTTTATATATTCAAATAGTCTTTCTTGAAGATGTGGATTTAATATTCAGGGGTCAAGTTCTGCTTAAACTGTCAGTGTGAAACTTACAAGGATGTTGCCTTTACAAGTAGGGTCAGGGTTAAACTCAACATGTGTGGTGCACATGCGTACTCCCTAATATCTGGATGTGGTGGTTTGCAGGTGACAGCCTTTCAGCCAAATGGTTACGGACTCTACAACACCATCGGCAATGTGTGGGAATGGACTTCAGACTGGTGGACAACCAGGCACAGCTCTGAACTGCAGGAAAACCCAGTGAGTTACATGTAACTTGGAAAGTCCTACTCAATAAGTTCATAAACCAGTGAATTCTCACATATTACATCAATGCCACTAAATAAGTTTGGATCTGCTCTTCATCTGTGTTTTCATGAGAGGTTAATGTGAAAAAATGTTTGAAGTTCTACATGCTGTACTTTGTTTCCTTCATTTTTCAGAATCCCATTCCATTTTTAAAAATAATCTTCTGTTTTAGAAAGGTCCCGAGACTGGCACAGATAAAGTGAAGAAAGGAGGATCCTACATGTGTCATAAGGTAAGAAATTTCAACAGTACAGTAATTCCCTTTAAGCTTGTCTAACGGTATTTGAAAACTCACCCAAAAATTCCAACTATTTTTGGAATTTTCAGAAACCTCAAACACAGAAACTGTGGCAAATTACTTGGTATCTCTAGTGACCTAAATAAACTGAATCAATTAGAGGGCCTCACGTTTCAATCCAAACAGAATCTTTCTCAAAGGTAAAATAGGAATTTAAAAAGAAAATTCATTCTATATTACTCATTCAGGAAGCTGTTTTCCATGCACAAATGTGAACAGAGATAGGGAAGCAGCTTAACCTGGTGATATGGACTGTACTTTTTCATCTGGAAGAAGGAAAAACAGCTACTTTTTAACTCACTGAATCATTTTTCTCTCCACTTTTTAAAATCCTAGTCCTATTGCTACCGGTACCGGTGTGCAGCTCGAAGCCAGAACACGGCGGACAGCTCAGCTGCAAACCTTGGATTTAGATGCGCCGCTGATGAACTGCCAGTGGGGGTGGAGTGCACTAACTGTTGAATTGCCAGGTGTGAGATGTAACACTGAAACGTCCCTCCTGAAGTCACAAGTTCCTTCCCTTATCTGCAGTTACTGCTTATTTTTATGAGCTACCAAGCTACAGGGAAGTTTTCAGCAAGCCTATGATCAAAAACCAGGCTCCCCCCCCAAAAAAAATCCAGCAAATTAATTTCCAAATTACAAAGAGCATTGTATTACATGTATTGGCTTATTTTGCTAGCGAAAAAAGTTTTTGAAAAATTCATGTGCTTTGCGGCTTCTTGACACTGGCCCATTCATAGCTGATGCTGATGGAACTTATGATACCAACTCCAACCAAAATTGGCAGAAACTGATCCCGAATGTCCCAAATCTTTGGCATGAACTGGGACATTCTCAGTTGCCACAAGGTAGCAAGCATGATGGTCTTTTTGTATCCTTCTCTAACATTTTGAGCCCGCATACATTAGCTCAAACATGAGGCATACAAGAAAGAAAGGACCATTTTATGTTGTAATCATGACCAAATCAACACCTCCAGTCTGACAGGCAAAAAAAAAAAGAATTTGACATTGTTCACCCTGTTATCTATGAATTTTCTTTGTGTTGTCCGATCTTGTAGTCTTGCCAAGAGCACTGTTACAAACAATCTCTCCCAACTCTTTCAAGAACAATCTATAAAGGACTAGAATGAATCCAAAAGGTGAGAGTTGACATTTCAAGTATTAATAGGCGGTCTTTACTATGGTACACTGCAGGATACGCCCGGGGAGAAAAACACCCCTTTATACACTTTAGAAAAAAATCTTACAAGGCAAAATGTAATATACACACACATAAATAATAATAAACGATCATCAATTTGTAAAATAAGAACCAGGTTTGCGTCTCATGTATCAGTCTATCTAGTCAAATTATCTTCATAATTATTACACTTTGAAAATTAAAAAAAATACATCTTTAAGACTAAAAGTACAAGACAGATAATCCTATCATTAAAATGATACACAACTTTTTTCATAGGTAAAACTTTGAGTGGTAGAACTAGTTGGTAAAGTGCATGAAAATCACAACCCCCCCCCACAAAAAGTTTTTGCAGTTCTAAGAAGTCTGGTCAACTTATAAACCAAGACCTTGCTCAGATTTTTTGAGGAAAAGACTAAGAACTTCAAGAATTCAGTATACTTAGATTCTTCAGCTATGTAGCATCCATGAGTTCAATGACCTTTGGTTGTTTTGTATTAAAAAAAGGCTGTACAGATTTTTAATAAACTGCATTACCTGCAACATAAGGAGTTAGGATTTTTGTTCTGAGCAAGATACAAGTCGACAAATAGTCCTATTTCCCACTATACGAAACATTACAACAGGTTTAAATAATGCCACTGTTACTATCAATGACAGTGAAATTTGTTAAACATTTTTCTCATATAAATTTTTAGAAAGCTGGTCCACCATGCCTGAGAAATGGTAAACAAGTGACAAATCATAACATATTTTTGCAACAATTCATCATTTGTAATTCATTTTGGCCATGCTTAATACACATTAATTTCTTATTTGAATAGTTACTTCAACTGTTTAATATTTTAAAAGTTCTTCTCTCCCCTTCCCCGTCCAAAGGAAAACAAAAAGGGAGAAAGTTGGCATTTGTTGTTGAAAATTGATATACTGATTTACAGCATTATGGTACTTGCATTTAAAACTGGTGAAACTACATATTGCCAATGCTTTCATGAAGATACACATTTCCCAAATCCTTTACTTGCCTTTCCATAAAAACAGCATCACTCTACTTTCCCCACCCCAGAAATCCCATCTGGGATGACCAGCTAATACCATTTTTTTTTTCAAAAAGTGAGCGGGAACTATATTAGTATCAGGCCACTCAGGATGCCTAGCTGGACAGCAATGCTGCCTAAGCATGTGCCACTGTGGGAAATAATGACTTTTCACACAAGACTTATCCCCATTTCCGCCAGATCCATATTAATTTTGTTGTTTTCTTGGTGGCGACTCAAACTAAGCCCCATGATCAGGAGGACTGACAGGCTACAGCAAAAATGATTATTCCACAGGCAGGAACATACAACTTCAGTACAGTCCACCGAAAACTACTCTAAATATGTCTTGATTTCACTTGAAAGATCAACATTTTCTTGACTGGTTTGAGTTTTGTTACCCTAACACTAAAGTAGTCAGTTCTCCCCTTTATTCTGACTGCACATTCATGACAGCCAGCTTGTAAGCAATACCTTCTGTATATGAAAAACCAAAATGCACGGGCCAACACAACACCCACACCTTCCCTGTTCTGAAAAACATAAAAGACTGCACGTTCTTCATAACATTTCCCACTGCCTGTAAACTAAACACCATTTCATGAAATCCTTTTGATTTTTTTTTTTGTTTTCTACTTTTTTTTTGGTTGAAACTGTACAGTCATGTTAGTAAAGGCATACACAGGTTAATTGTAGCACTTCTTTTTTAATGTTTAGTTTCTGTATACTGAACCGGCAGTATATATGCATTTTTTTGTATACATCTAGTAAGCAAATGCAGTTTGAGTTCATGGAAAAAAAAGGTAACTTTTGTGTTTTTAAAATTCCACCTCATGTCTGTAATTACATTATAGAGGATGTAAAGCCTTTTTGATGGGACCAGCCCTCAATCTGAGAAAGTCCAATTTATCGAAGTCTTTGAAATTAAAGTAATTTCTCTAAGACTGAAATTGCTCCTTCAAATCATTTACAGTTCGACAATTTAAAAAAAGTCTGTTTTATAAAACATAACTAAGGAATTAAAACTTGACATTCTCCTGTAGCACACCGTAAAACTTCCCTCCACTGAAACAACACCTATCCTCTTACAGAACAAAAGCACAATAATTTAAAATGTTTAAAAAAAATTGAGTATTGGCTGTTTTCCACGGTTCCAACTGATTGCCACAATTTCACCAAATGCTTAAAATGTAAACAGTTCTCTATATTGACAGCGTGTTAACATCAAACCAATGTGAATCAGAAGATTCAACAGAAGTTGTAACAGCAAAACACCTGGTGTGTTTTTGGTTTTTGTTTTGGTGGTAGTTACAAACACTGCACCAATTAGACTGAAGCCGGGTGTGCTGGGTAAAACAGAGAACGGCTGGAAGTCGAGACTGAATCAACTTCTCTGTATACACAAAGAATCCATGTTTTCTTCTGTACAGGGAGACACAGAGCAATGCAGGCTTCTTTATCTCTCCAACGCTGAAGTATTAAACTCTTGGCCAGTTGCCGTAAAAGACCGCTTGAAAATGCACAGCAAGAAATGGCCCAACTCTGGAAACCTACTCAGCATTAGGCTCTTCTGCAATGTGCCGGGCTCCCACTGTGGGCTTTTCAGTTCTAGGGCAGAAGGCATGTAGAAATCCACTTTTGACTTGAAGCACAGCTCGTGTTGGTTCCGTTCCCTGCTGTCTTGAGAACACCAAGGTCTCTGTCTTCAAAGACGAGTTCAGAACGAGACAGTTATCTTACTCCAGTGGACTGAGCACGGTCTGATAGTACAGCTGTCTCTCATTGGTTTAAACACATGCATCCATGGCAGTATTTGCACAGTGTGGTGAAAAACTTCAGACTAATGCATCAAAAAAATACTGTCTGATGTAAGAATTTGCCGCAGATGTTAGTTAAGTAGTGCCACCTGCACTCTGCCACTCCGAAAACCAACACCGTTGTCACAGAGATCTGGTCAGCTGGACCTGTGCACGGCTGCTCACAATTGTTGTTGGGCTTTTGCCCATCGTAAGTCAAACGACATTCACTCCAGTCAAAAAATGTCCCCTCAAGTCAAAGTTCTTGTCACTTGTCTTGCAGACAGCCGCGAGATACACTCGCCTTAAAACGGGGGTCCTGACACAGGGGGTCGTCAAGAAGCCCTAGTCCCGGCAATCACGTTCCAGGCAATTTATTGTTAACAATTTATTCAATGCCTACAGCCCTCCCGTTCCAGTGAAGAAGGGGAATGCACCAAACTGGCTGTTGATGGGTGTCTTGGGAGAGGGGCAATACATGAAGTCATCGGCTTGGAAACGGGCCCGGTTCATGGAGGGCTCGGAGTGGCTGCGATGTACCTTGGGGAGGAGGCGGGCTAAACCTTCCAAGGAGGCCAAGATCTTTTGTAAGGGGGGGGAATGGGGAGAGAAATAATAGGAAATTTTAATCACTGGACAGCAATGAGATTATGTTTAAAAGAAAACGTCACTCTTTGCCTCTGTCAGGGTTCTTGAAACCTCGTGGTATACAAGCCACTCACACCCAGCCATGAGAAAGTTAAAAATGGCTGAACACTTCGGGAAAATTGCAAAAAACTGTGACACAAGTTGACATTTGGCATGTTATCAATTGTAGAAATTAAATGTATAAATTGAAGACAAAGACTGGCTAGTTGATTGAACAGTATAAAAAAGGTGTGGAAGGTTTTAAAAATCCCATTAAATGTTTCAAAATGATGCTACAACCCCCTCCTCCCAAAACCCAGCCCAATTAATAAAGTTAGTCTGTCAAATATTCTTCTTAACTGTGAAATGACCTTAAGCAAAGTTTAACCAAAGTATCCAAATTCTGATCTAAACATTTTCAAAACATGTCGTAGCACGTGTGAGCCATTCACACCCAAAACACACTGAGAAATAATATCGCCACACTCCAAAACAATCAGACTGCCTCTTGTTACCTGTGGGAACAGGGGTCTCTCCTCACGGTTCATCTTACAACAGTCTATGATGAGTCGCTTCAGGGCTTTGGGCGTGTCGTTTCTGGCCTTGTTAGTATCCGGAGATAAGTAGCCACGCCCTACCATCCAGATAATCTCAATAACAAAGATAAAGACAAATTAAAACAAAAATTCGTCAGGGCATCCCAACTCTCACATTTGAGCACATCCTTGTTTCTATTCCTCGGATGACCATGTGTGTATCTTTACAACAAAACATGAGTTTGACAAACAAATTCCATCAATCAGGTATCTGACATGAGTTGACTAAGGGGCTGGGATAGACTGGAAAGGAGACTAGTGTACACTCAAGTAAATTGGGTCGACACCCGCATTTTGCAACAAAGCCTGTGGAATGACCTTGACTTCAAGTCACCATCCCCAGATCACTGGGAGAAATCAAACTTACTTCCAAACCCCCCAAATCAGTTACTCATTCCCCCCCCCCAAAAAAAATGATCTGGAAAGTGTTCAAGAAATGAGACCTGAGGTTATCCAGCGAATGCCATGTGATACACACCTGGTCCTTGTTGTTGATGTTGGAATAAGGCAGCTGGCCTGAGACCAGCTCAAACAACACCACACCGAAGGCGTAGACATCAGACTGGAAGGAGTAGGGGTTGGGATCTCTCATCCGGATCACCTCCGGAGCCTGGAACAGGCACGTTCAATGGAAAGTGCATAAAAGCAAACTATATGCACAACTTTTCTCCCCCTTGCAACTCTGTCATCCCTAACCGAGTAGTTACAATATCCCTAGGAAGGCATGGGGTGGATATGAATGGGCTCAAGACTGGAGTCAGAAGCGCTAGGCAATTTCTGCGTACACGTGGCGCAGAATCTTCAGCCAAATGTATTTGTGGTGATATTCGGACCACTGAACAGAGACTTGGCACCTGCTACGTCTTCAAGTCCCTCCCACTATGGTGCTTGGACTGATTGAGTTAAGCGAAGACGTAGTGAGCTGGATATGCTTCTTTCTGTAGCATTGTCATTTGGGCTTCACACGCAGGAACACCCATAAAAGAGCCAACAAAATTCTCAACAGCTTGCTTCTGTGTTTTTTTCCTCAATTTCCTGTTAATCACTGAATGCAATTCCCCCTTCATCAAAAACTTTATAATTTTTTTTCGTTCTCATCTGCCTTCCTCAGATTTATCCTTGTCTCCTTACCATCCACAAGATGGAGCCCGTGGGTTGCTCACAGAGCTGAGAACCACTCCATCTTGATTTGACAGTGGCCAGGCCAAAGTCGCCAATCTTCACCGTCAGATCATCGTGCAAGAAAATGTCTGAGCATCTCAGTCAAGGACATTTTTTCGTAATAAGAACAGTCAATGCTCGAGTTTGCTGGAAATTCAATGGATGCACCTTTTCACATTTTGACTGCTTGGGAGTAGTGATGAACATGGCATATTGAAACCATAACATATTTATAGTCTTAGTAAATGGCACATCAACATTATCTTCTCCAGACACCGCAAACTGCCAGAGAGTGCAAAATTCCACATCAAATAAACTGACGAAGAAACTCTGTTTGCTACTTGCCTGGTCAAGTATCCTGCTTTTGCAGAGTAAATCGTTTTGTTCTTAGCACCTGACATAGCTGGCACTATCACAAAACAAATCGATGTTGGTAGCAGTTTCTATATCGTTATGAAGACTCCAGTATTGTAGAGGATAACGTCAGCAACAAGCAGATCTTTCTAGCCTTAATCTAGTGAGTCGGGCAATTCCCCACTACAAAGGATACTATTGGACTTCATATCTCGATGGATGATGTTCTTAGCATGCAGATAGCTGCAGAAGGGAAGATAGAATCAAGTTGTGACAATGTGAAAAAGTTGGTGACTACTTTTCTGAAAAAAGTAAAATCTCGGGCTGTAAATGGTCAACGCTGCCTTTTCAACTAACTTCCAAGTGAGCTTGGTAATCTCCGTATACTCAGTCACTTTTTCCCTTTATTGAAGTCTCAATGTAACATTACTCTTAGCAAAGCTTACATTATCCCAGTGATATGTTTACGAAAATTTGATTACTGACTGAACAAATTCTCCAGTCCTAAATCTGTAGAAGTGCAACATCACTGGAGGCCCACATCCTAATTGAGCAGGCTCTTGAAAGCAGATTTTGTCTTTGATTAGCCAAGGGATGAATAAACAACACTCAAAGCCGGCCAATTTCCCCACGGAAGGACCAAAAAAGAGGGACTACAAGCAATAAAGCTTCCAAAACGAAGCACCTCCCTTTTATGAGCTCTTCCCCCCTCCCTCCCTCAAGTACACTCACTCCATGCCTTGCGCCGTCTGCCGGGCAATGTTGATCAGGTTGTACATCTCAAACTTGGTCTCCTGGACGTGCAAGTGCTTGTAGAGGCTGGAGCCCTCGCACCACTGGGTGACGATGGACAGCTGGGGCTTGGAGGTGCAGCCCATGAACAGCAGGATGTTGGCATGCCGGGTCTTGCGCAGGACCGCCACCTCGTTCTTGAAGGCCTGCAGCTGGGAGGCAGTGGGGTCCGTCACGTTCAACCGCTTGACCGCCACAGGACCTGCAAGTCATTTTTGTGTTAAGGGATGACTGTTACTCCAGTCTTCATCTCTTGACCGGTTCAAGCCAGTGCCAACATGATCTGGCCATCTTTATTTGCAAGGGTGTATGGCAGTTAAACAACAGCGCACTCCTTTAATCTACAATGGCAAAAATGTATATCTGTCATCACATTTGATCGATCACTGTTGGCTGAGTAGGGCTTTTTTGCCAGTCAGCAGGGTGTTCCTGTACCAGGCACTCCGGCTGTCATCAACAGTGAATACTTAAGTCATAAAGTTTTTGAAAAGTTGGAAAGAGCAGGTACCAGGATCAATATAATATGAAGTCATACCCTACATCAAAGGAGTAACGCTTCATGGTGCCAAATGACCTACTTCTCCAAATGCACTGTTTCTGCTTTAACAAAATCTGAACACTCTCCAAAAGGGGCATGAAATTAGACAAAACTTTGAAAGCGTATCTCATGAGCTGCCAGGCCAAATTTGTTTCGACCTCACCAGTGAGGTCAGCTGCTCACAGGATTAGCAAAACGGACATCTACACTACTCTGGTACTGGTCAGTAACTGGTTTCTTTTTGTAGTGGATTCTTGTGAGGGCAACGAACCCCTCAACGCTAAGAAAGAAGTAGGACAGACACTGCCGACAGGAGGGGGAGAAGGAACAGGTGCGGCACCCACCTGCAGGCTCAGCAGGTTTGTGCACATCCAGACAAGAATAAGTCGCCTACTTCAAAGGGTGTACATACTGACCAAAGCATAGTGCCCACTACAGCACTATCCACTGTTCCCTTGCCAAGTCCACGATGTACTTACCGTGCCAGTGCCCCTTGAACACGGTTCCAAATGATCCCGATCCTATCCGTGGGCCAATCTGGATCTCTTCAGTGGGGATCTCCCAGTCGTCATTCGAATCCCTCCTTTGCCTCTGTGGAACACACCCCCCAAAAGAGAAAAGAAGCATCAAGCACAGATCTTCCTGTTTATTTAAATCCTAATTACACCATCACAGACCCCTTACTAATGAAAAAAAACAAAAAACTTGAGTGAACACTGACCCAAACCTTCCAAAATCCTTCAAAATTTATTGAAGCCACCAGTCGCCAGCTTGTGGCTTCGTGTGTCTCCTATAAAGACGTGCTACTCTAGCCATAGACATGTTATTTCTAGCCATAGACATGTTATTTCTAGCCATCAACTTCTCCAAGGACAGATATTTTATGAAAATCCAACTGATAAAAGGTTCAGCTCCATTTTTTCCTGCTGTGTTTCCATGCACGGGGTCAGTTTTTCTCTAGAAAAAAGTACTCTCCTTTGGTGAGAAACTTATTGAGTGTACCATTTGTCAGTGATGTGATGTTTAAAGAACTTCCTCCACTTGGCCCAACTAACCACTTTTAGCCCAGGAATTGAATTTCTGCTTTGTAACTTACAGGCTTTTTGATTTTAGTGTCTTCGGCTGAGCTGGTGGAACTGTTGGGACCTCGGTTCTTCCAGCGATCTCGGTGTGTGGGTGAGGCTTGGTTACTGGTGACAATTCTATTTGGACTGTGAACCTCTGAGTTGGGTAGACTGGAGGCTAGATTAGACATCACTGCATGGAGGGACGGTGGGGAAAAAAAAGATAACACCAAAAAAAAACACACACACAGAACTTTACAATGGATTTTGGATGAGGCAGGCAGGTTCAGAACAGAGTGACTACCCACTGCCAGTTCTCTTTTTCAGGCCTATAATTTGGAATGAAATTATGCATATTTGAATCGAGGGGACAAGGCTGTTGGGGAAATGTTCTTGTCTAGACAGCATCTCACCAGAAGCCATGATGGGTAAAAAGGCCAGAGAAGATCAATGCAATGAATGACACCAGAAAGACCACAAAGGGAGCCATTAAGGGAATTCAAAGATATGGATGACTGTTGTCAGACTGTATCTTGCGATGAGAAAACGTTTGACCAGAAATCGACAAGACTGCGGATCGATAGTCACAACCTGGGAACCACATCTGCAGTTTAGTTTCTCAAATTAGCGTAACAGAATCAAAAGCTGCCGATATGGAGAAACGGTAAACTCATTTCATCAAATTTCCACTGCTTGTTCCTCATGAACTCTATGTATGAAGGCCAACAAGGCTAGTACAACTGTGAATGGGAAGACATTTGTATGTAAAGCAGAATACAAGTTATGTAAAAAATGAAATCATGCAGCCTGTTTACATGCATCTATTGTGCAAACACATGTAGAACAGTCACAAGAAGAACACTGCTTCATCCAGGGACTAGAATTAGGGGATTTAGGTCACACGGGGAACATGCAGCTGATTGCTTGAACTTTACATTTTGCAAGACGTTTATTTTAGACAGCATTTTTCGACAGGCCATGACCAGAACAACCAAATCCGACAAATATTCACACATACTTCTTCCATGGTATTGCGGACGATGCATCTGTGGCAGAAACAAGTACTAGCAGCATAAATTTGTTTCAGGCCACACAAAGTCACCACAATCCAGCCCAAAAGTTCCTTACAAATGACCATGCCACCCTAAAAATGGGACCGACCAGGAAACAATACCAGCCAACACAGAATAAAAGAAACTACAGTGGACTTTTTAAACCAGTGAAGAGACAATACATAAGACACATTATGATCAACTTGTCCACATTAACAAAAATTGAAAATGTACGTGTAAATTTTTTTTTTATTCTTAGTTTCCAACACACTTGTGCTAGACATGGATATACCCAACAGGTTTTGCCGCATCGAATTGTTTTTTTTTTTTGTAATCCAACACTGCTTTGTCATGGCAAGAGACTTTGCGGACCCAATGTACCAGAGAGATATCTTGGACTTGTGCCAACATGTCATGACTGGCAAGGGTCACGGAGAATTGGCACTTCTTGTCAAATCACTCATTGCCTATTGTTTCGAGCCAAAATGACGATGCAGATTTGTGTTTTTCCATTTCCAGGTGGTGCACTGCCTAAAAAAAACTTGTTACTTTGAGGTAACATGTTTGAATTTCCATCCACACTGTCATATATGCACCAGCCTGTTGGCCAATACCCATTTATGCTCTCGAGAGGCAAGTCAGGATAATGCCTCACACTCACACAAGTGTGTATTTGCCTGCAACTGGGGACCCCCTATTGTTCCTCTTTTGTTTATACTTTAACTTTTTTAGAAGACCACCCACATGTTTTGTACACAGTTGTCAATCGGGGACCCTCTGGCAATCGGGGACCTTATTGTCCTCTATTGTTCAAGGTCCCCAATTGAATGCAGAAACAAACCCACAGCCACCAGAAGGAGCCAGTGCCTCAGCTGGCAGTTACAGAGATCTGGCTGCACAATTAATAATTCTCTACAACTTCTTGCAAATTCCACTCAATTTGGACACATTTATGCCTTACCACATGTGGTAAATCTCTTTGGTGAGTTGATGAGACTCTAGGAAATGACCGACCTCATAAATTCACAGAGGGAAACTGTTGCCAAGTGAAATTGTGCACTTTTCTACACTACTTCCTCAACTACCCAAACCTTCAAATCTCTTTAAACACCAATCAAGACACTGGAAGGAATAGCACCCCCATGACTGTTTACAGATGTGGGTAATTCCCCAGATTAGGGGTCCATTTTTTTTTCTGTCCCTGTCACATCTGACAGATGATTTTGTATAAGGTTCAAAATACATTTTCTAATTTCCAAAAGTGATGAATGAATGCAAAGGACCTGCCAAACAAATAACAGTTTGAAATCAATTTTGGTGATATTTCCATGTCAAATAACAAAGGTCAGATGAAACAGGCACACAAAAATGTCACACAGTTGGACCCCTAATGTCTGGAATTACCCACATACAAAAAACAGACTGGGACACACAGATTGAGACAGGTGAACATTACACTAGAGACGGACACAGGAACTGACAGACAGAACAGAGATGCGACAACATACGAATTGCAACAAGACAAGGAAAACCCACTAACACAGGCAGACGGCACAACAAAACCCAAAGGGATGGACCATGAGATGACAGATGGGAAAATCAATGCTGTGAAAAGACCAAACTCTAATACAGTAAGACTAGCAGAACAACTAAACCATGAGAGCAGACATGGATGACAAAATATGTAAAATACACTTTCTAGAAACACAACTTAATAGAAAGAAGACATGCTTGAAATTCTACATGTCCTAACTGATTCTACAGTTTTGTTGCTGTAAGTGGTTTGCAAATATTTCACATACAAAAATACAATAATCATCAACAACCCAACAACCCAAAAGTAATAATTTGTCAGATTAGCCATAATTCTTTCCCATCTCCAACCCCCCCCCCCAAAAAAAGCTCCGTTACAGCCCTATGTTTCCTTTCATTTCAGTTTTTGGGATGACTAGTGCAGCAGAGTGCAACTAACCAGACTGACATAGTGCCGATTTGTGACGAGTTATTCGGTAACAGCCCTGTGGTTATGTTAAAAGCATGAGGCGAAGCATGAAAGACTCACCAGGTAGTGCACTGGTTGGGCTGTAATCAAAGACATTATCACGCCCAGCGCTCACTATGGTAGGCGTGAAGCTTATTTGGCGCGGCCGGACCACACCAATCGCAGGGCTTACTGCGTGCGTGTGTCTGGCACCAAGATCTAGGAGGGGAGGGGGGAAGGGAAGGGGAAGGGGAAGGGGAGAGAGAGGGGAGAAGGGGTTGGGGGAGGGAGATTGGCAAGAGAAGGAAAAAACAAAGGCAAGAGAGTGCAGGGGAAGGGGAGGGGAGGAAAATGACGAGAACAATCAGGCAACCAACACAGCATGTAAATGGAGAATGGGAGGGGGGGCAGGAAGCGAAGAGGGGGCGAGATGCAAGACATTGATTAAGTGCACGGGGATAATGACAAAGAGAGGTTTACAATACAGTCTGCAGAAATCTCTGGAAGATTAAGGACAGAACAGCAATGAAAGAGACAACATCAACACTAGAAATTGATAGATAAACATATATGACGAGAATTGCAACCGTGAAACTGTTGAGAGTGGCAATGATGACAGTAATATTACTTCAACAGTGACAATGACAAATGACAACGCTGACAACAATACAACTACATGTCTACAGTGATATTCAAAGACCTCTGTACTCATGATCACACATGTTGTTTTACGTGTGAGCTTTCCTGCGGAGTTCGGTGGACCATGGACCGCCACTGGCGCCATCACAAGGTGCACCCGTAAACAAGGTGTGTCATCATGAGTATGGAAGGCCACTGAGAAAATGACAGGGCTGAAGATGTCATTAATGATGATGGTACAGGTAAATGACCTTGGTGACGGTTGACAACAGATAATGACAAGGCCGATGACAGTGATTCTGGTGATTGCGATCACACCGACCATGACAACTACATGCAGGGCAGGGCTTTCTCTTTACTGACATTAACGTCAGTGCTCAGATTTATGACCTGACCATGAGCCCAATGACCGACGCATATCAAGCAACTTGGACAATTTTATCACTGCCTCAAGAAATCAAGACCATGATAAAAATGTAGATGGTGACACCGTTGTGACTGCACTATGAATCTTCAGTTGACGTGCTAACCAATGTATGCCAGGAAACATGACTGGCGCCACCCAAAATACAATGACAACCGTGACTCCTTTATGGTTTAAAAACAATGACTAAATGAACAAAAAACTATAAATCACAGTGACAACGCTACAAAAATAGAGTATCTCATCAATACCACTCCAGGACAAACTAAACAAACTTCAAACATAAAGAGCTTTGAAACCAGAAAACAAAGCGATCAAAAATGGTTCTACCGGTATCACCTGCAACAAATGAATTGGAAACTGACATCTCATGACAATGGTATGGGTTACTGTACAAAGATAACATTCAGAATTTGTAGCATTTTGTATAAATTGTAAGTCAATGGATTAGTATCAGTGAGTATAATTCAGGAAATAAAAAAAGACATCCCGAACTTAAATTAAAAAAAAAAAAATCATGCAAGAAATCAATCATGTAAATGAAAGAGCAGATGTAATTCAGCACTGGACAGGCTGGGAGAATGAGGAACGAACGCGGTATTCTGAAATGTCACTACCGTTGTGCCCAACATGAAACTATAGTCCAAAATGTCAAATTATGAAGTCAGGTTTTGATTGCAATCATGAAATTTCAGGTTGAGTTCTTCCTTCTTCTGAAATGGCCTTCATACTGCCAAAAGTTAAAGGGACAAAAGATGTTGCTTACAACGCTTCTCAACTAATTTGAAGTTTGCATAAGTATTTCAGACAGCTGTAGCACAAATATTCATTGAAAATCAACAAAAATAGTGTCATTCTCAGAATATCTGCACAGGAGGGAGGATGTAGTTGCAACACCAAAAACTATTCCCTGCTCTGATGAATTTTCTTTCACATGGCAAGGTTCTACCTTGAAGGGTGAACGTGGTAGGTGTCATCACACAAAATATCCTTTTGTTTTCTTCCCCCCTTTTTTTTTGTCAAAAATGGGAAGATCAGGGAGAAGGGTTCCCATGCAGAGAGAGGGGAGCTAGGAAGGTGGGTCAAGGTTACGGAAGCCAGAGATGTTTATAGAGAGAGTGCCGACATGAGCGTCTCAATTTTTTGGAACCAAAATGGGGGATTATGCATCGGTGCGTCTACATACAGAGTTATTAGCGCACAACAGCTGCACGCTGTACTTCGCACGTAATCAACAGCCATTTTGGTGCCCAAGTCTGAAGCTGGCTCTACTCTCTCTACATACAGCTCTGATGGAAGCGCCCTGTGGTGGCTCAGCAAGCTGATATTTGTCCGTGCTTGGTAGTGATCGTGAAGTTTTAAACTTCCCGCAATTGGCCCGACTACAATCTAGAAGCATTATTACTGCTGATCATGCAACAAGCGGGCGGGGCTTTCTAGCACGCAAAACAACCCTCTTTATATTTTTATGACTGTCCACATGTGAGTTCTAATGCAGCATTTGTTGACGTGAACCCCAAAAATTCAAGAGGTCGAAAATTTTTGGAAACAGAGGTTTGCTATTGTAAGAAAGTCACTTCAAACCAAACGAGTTCTGTAGGTTGAAAAACTGGCCTTGCAATAAGCAAACTGCTACTCTACATTATAAAATCCTTAATTAATGATAATGAATCTCTTCTAATGACAACCCGAAAAAAAAGGCAAATCCCCCATTCCCCCCCAAAAAACAAACAACCACAATCCTACCTGCTGGGTTGCTTTTAAACACAAACTTGGTGTCGCTGAACCCCTAAAGCAAGAAAGCAAAAGGAAAGGAGAAACATTAGGAGACCTGAACTTTGGCGAAGAGGATTTAGATTAGGACCGAAGTGTAGCTACACCTGCATTCACTGTAAGGTCCTTTTTGGACTTGGAAAAATTCCCGCTATTACGCACACAGGGTGTATGGTTTCCAGCATTAACAATCGGTGTTGCAGTCAAGTTCTTTTCAAATACCAAGTTCACTGCCAAATATTGAACTAGTAAGGAGGAAATAAAACAGAAGAACATGGCCATTTGATGACACTGGCAACTGCACAAAGACCACTACAAAATAAACACAAGACTTCAGACACTCCCAAAATTTACAAACAGTAAGTCTTAAGGTGTATATAAAAATTCCATCTTTTATCAAATTATGATGGTCTAAAGTCACTTTGTTTTAATTTCGTCCAACAGCCACGTTATCCCAGCTTTGTTCCCTCCTAGGCAGTTCAATATTTTGCCGTGAACTTGGTACTGGAAACATATTCACAACAAGAAGGCTGCAGATAATTGAGCTTGGAAGTGCTAAACGCCACACTTCACAAAACTCCAACCCGAGAACGGAACAGAGACGGTTCGGTAATCACCTCGGTGGTGGTGGTGATTGCATTGACGGCGTTGAAGCTGACGTTGGGCGCGGAGGTGGATCGCTCTCGGGGCAGTGTGGCCTTGGGGGTATCAGTCGTCCTGACTGGGGTGGTGGGAGAGTCCGGCTCTTCCTCGTCCACGTCATCCTCCTCTTCGTTCTTCATCAGAAGCCTTAGGGGAGGGAGGAAACGGATTTCTGCTGTAGTCGAGTATTTCACGTGTACCGGTACTGTAGTCAAGTCGCATCACAAGTACTTTCACAGGACCAGTCATGAGTTTCATGGTAAACAGAGACAAAGTAGCTTTTGTCGTCGTTCATTTGAATAGCTGGTGACTTGGCTCAAGACCAGATGACTTGAGACGGACCTGTGACATACTTGTAGGGACTTGGGATGGACTCTGCTACAACAACAACAGTGTGGTACTTTTCACAAGTTCTAAGTACTCGCAAGTACTTTCACAGCTAACGAGGAAGTGAATACTAACAAAGGAGTGTATTTTTCTAAAACCGGGGGTATTATAATGTACCAAAAAAAAAATCTGTGAAGTACTTAAGTGGGCGTAAAGTAATTGTGAAGAACAGTACTTTGGAGTACTCAATCTACTACAAGAAAACAACTGCTGTGAAACTGAACTCTCTTGGAGAGCAGCGCCCAATTAATGCAGATGGAATGGTGGTCGGTAATAAGGGATGGATACCGCGCGACCATCCCAGATCCTCCAGGGCCATCCTGGTGGTTTTAACGTATAAGAGATGGTCGATATTTGGATCACAGGTGGATTTTTTTACGGCTGAGCCATGAATTCAACAAGAAAAAGCAAAGGTCAAATCACAAACCCTTCATGAGAGATACGGATGAGCCATCAGGGCTTGAAATTAACGGGTGCAGGTAGCTAAAATGCACCCGTTTGCCTCAGAAATGCACCCGTAAATCATACAGACGGGTGGAAGTACTTACACCCGTTTGATTACGTGTACCTGAACATGTTTACCGTTTGTTTTTTACTTCACTTCGGATCAGCCTTGTCATGGAACCGTAACACGGTAAAATTTTCTTTACGATGTCACCGAGCGCACGCCGCAGTCTCGCATGCGATGCATGCACACACATGAACGTACACACACATGAAAACCTGCGGCCATTGTCATAATTGTATGGAAACTGGCCCCTCGTGCGTAAATTCAAGCCACACGAGTGGATTCGGCTGAGGCTTTGGTTTTGCTGGTTCCAGTCATAGCTTGAACATGTAGTTTTGAACCATGCTCCAAAATAGCTGGAACCAGCGAAACCAAAGTCTCAGCCTAATCGTCTTGGTTCAAAAACACTTGATTACTGCAGTTAGTTCCCTTTTATGTCTGCATGCATATGCACGTTAGAAAGGCCCAGTGCCCGACTTAGCGTAGCGTCGCTAAGCACGTTTGAGACTCCAGTTGGTCGTGTACTCACTACTACTTGTATGTCGTGTGCAACTCACAAAAATAACAACTCGATCGAGGCTTTAATATCTGCCAAAGTCTAAGCCGTAAGTTATCAGTGTCATTATTTAAACAAAAGCAACAGCGAGGACCAGGCTCTTTGCTTTTTTATCTTGAACATTTAATATTGTATGGGAGCTACTTGCTCTTGTAAAGTGAAATTCAGCTGTCTGGGGAGCAAGTACTTGCTCCCGTGATGATTAGCCCAATTTCGAGCCCTGAGCCATGGCAAAGGAATGCCTTTATCAAAGTGCAAGTGACTGGCTCATGGCTTCAGAGGTGATTGCTTTCCGCAGTGGCCGTCTGGTCAACTTTGTAAGATTGGATTGGACAACAGCGCTGGTTAGGGTTGATAAACCACAAATGAGTGACTTGTAAAGGAAGCTTACATCTTGTACAGGTTCTCGGCCACGCATAGTGTGGGCACTTTGCTGGCGCACCGCTGGTGGAATTTGTAGCCACAGGTCTGACATCGGAAACCGTGGAATAGGAGCTTGTGACAGTTGTCACAGAACATCAGCGTGAAGAAAGTCTTCCTGACCTGCAAAGTTCAACCGAACAAGTTGTAATTCAGAACATTACTAGTCCAAAAATGACAATATCCATAACTGATGGATACCAGCAATGCTATTCTTCAATGTATTATACAACAAGGCTACTCTATGGACGCCAAGCCTGAATTGTGAATTTTTTCCCCCTGAACACCTTCGTTTTAACTTAAAAGTACCAGTAACTCAGAAAGCTTCAATAATTTCTCAAAGTCTCATATATGGCATACAACAAGAAGTTAAAGTTGGATGAAAAAACTCACAAAATTGTGAGATATGCTGCGAGCTGTGGGGTACTGTTCCGACACCTCAACACAAATCTGTCAAAAAAAAAGAAAAAAGAACATCTTAATATTCCATGATGTCTTTGAGTATTACTTATTCCTGTACTCAATGATATTTCTGTTTTACCTTAAGCAACTACTGTCCATGCATAGCTGAAATCCAAGAGCAATGGTCCCGTATATTACTGAGTGCATAAATTAGTATAAATTAACAAAGAGCTTATTCCACTTGATATTTATGCAAAGTTGAACGACCTTAGAGAGTATTCCAGAAAATAAAAGTAGACGTTCAATGAACTTTGCGCTGCGAAATAGCTTAGACTTGACCAACTGAAAAAAACACCAGAAACATATTTTTTGTAAAATCTACAGTTACAGTTAAAGAATTTACATGAGGGTGAACTTACCTCTTGCCCTGCGAGATACATCATGTCGGTGTCCCAGGGGACAGGGTGCCTGGGGTTGCGTTTGAAGACATTGCACATATCCACGGTCAGCTCCCGCATTTTCATGGCTTTGGCTAGGGCATCCCGCAACGTGGTGCCTGGCTTGCAAAGTACCTGCAAAATGGCCGGCAACAAGATTATCGTGTAGCCTAAATTGAGACTGGCCTCTGGACGTGACAGCCCTAAAAGGTGTTACAAAACCAATTTGTCGTAATCTGCTGAGCATCAATCACTCAATAAGACTATGTTCATGAGCATGAGCTTCAGTCCCTTTGCAAATACCGCTACTCAGATGTCTTCTACAAGTAATTCATGTTCAAATCTGTAACCGAAAGTCTAATTATTCAGACTATGTTGACTTGTTTTGCTTCAGGCCTAAGTAACTTTACCACTGAACCATCTTTGTTTCAGGTAAAAATAACAACCAAACAGCATTTTACAGTAGTACATGTACGTGAATCAAATTTCACAAAAAAGCTTCCCAATAAAACAGTTAAGATGAGAATTGAAAGACTTTTAATTGCACAACTACGGGTTCTTAGTTCATTCAAGAACCACTGGTTGACTTAGTGGTACATGTAAGTCTGTGGCTTCATTTGCATCTGTACATAGGTACTGATGTGTGAACAATGGAAATGAAGTCAATCGCCATCATGGTAACCTGTTGTCCCGGCTCCCGGCGATGCACTTTAACATTATGAAGCTGCAGATAACCAGTGATGCGACCAAACCTCAATAGGCTGGTGCTCAACAGCTGACTTGACTAGTCCACCTGTCAGTGACTAGCGTGCATTCAATTAGCATTAAATGAAGTATAGTCAAGCACAGTTCTCAATTGAATTTACCCTCTGTTATCAAAACAGATTTCTGGCAGGGCTTCCGAAAAGTGAGTTTAAAGTTCAACAATGACACATAGCTCTATTCCAGAACACATGAGAAACTAAACATCTATTTGATAATCCAGAAGTACATGTCCAAAACAAAATGATAGGCAAAACTAAATAAAAAACACTCACTGATGTTCTCTGCTTGTTAGGCAAATAGGCTCGCACGTATTTACTGACAGGTGGAGATGTTGGGATCTCCTTTGCAACGCCAGCGTCGTCACGGATGTGGGTCCGCACAGACCCCTCAAGCGGCCGGTAAGGGGTGTGCAGGACAGGCGCATGGCCGTCCTGGGCTGGAACCGTCTTGAGCGGATGTAGGGGGTAGTGGGGAGCCGGCTCTGGGTTGTAGGGGGAGGGGACCGGCGAGGGTGACTGCCGGCCATTGCTCATACACTCCTGCAGTTCCTGCTTGCGCACCTGGAGCTCGTTGAGTTTCTCGGTCAGCTCTTCATATTCCTGCATTGGGTCAACAACAAAAATTACGTAAAAGAGAAGGTACAGTTGTTTTCTCCCTGATGAATCGTCCACTGATCCCTGATTCTATAACACATCACACGTCATTTATATATATATCTACACTGGTTACCCTTTCATTACAGAAAACATGTCCTTTTCAAATTTCTTCTGAGTTTACATCCCAACATGGCTCATCAACCTCCCTACCTTCAAGCCCAGTCCATAATTCAGGAAAACACAACAGCAAAGTGAATTTGAAGTTACGCTAGAAATACACTCAACGTTTGTGAATTTGCAGCAGGCCCCATTATAATTCTAACTTTTAAAGCATCTGTGCAGACACACTCATTTTCCCAAATCTTCACAGTGATCAGCACATTCAGAGTAAAATGACCATGTAAATTTGCCGTTTGTTGTTTGTGTTACTGTTTTATTTTGTTAAAAGCACTAGCAGTAGGAGGCCTGTTATAAATTGAGGTACCCATGAAATCTGTTCTTCTTTTCCTTCATCAGTTTCTGCCAACACCTTCAAGTATGTGCACAACAAAGTGATACCGATTCAACATCTGCTCAGGCGTGAAAACTTCTGACAGATTTCCTGCTTCCCTTCCAAGAACTGCCAAGCCAGGGGTCAGGGGTCAAAGGCTGGATTCTGTGCATGCACATTCCTGCCAAGACTGCACACTGAGTCTGAAGCCATTTAACTAAGCACAGAATCTTCCCGAAGGAGTTCCTCCGGTCTTTGCAGATGAGGAAAACAGACGAATCATGTTTTTCCTGTTTCAACAAAAACTTAAGGGAATTTCCCCTTTGATTTCTGCTGAACCCATTTCACTGAATGATTACCCAATACCCTACTGAACATGTGGGAACCTACATACAGTTCATGTTCTCCCTTGCTTTTGCAGCCAAAACATTTTTTTTCGCTGAAGAATTACCTCTGGAAGTGCAACCTTTCATCGATGACTTGTCTGTCTAAAACCATTGCTTTTGCATCTAACGATTATTCAGAATTGCTCTGGCAGTGTGCCAAGGGAATAACAGCACTGTTGTGATGGAAATAGCTGGATTCACATCACAAAATGTGATACATTTTGTGCAAAAAGCGAGACAAACATGAAACTGATGTGCAATTTTGGCGAATGGAAATTTCTTTCGGATCGAAAACCAGCCCCGCCGGCCACCCCCTACTAGCAATAGCAGCTTCACAGCAAAAATGAAATGTTTGACAAAACAAACTCACCCCCAGTTTCTTGCCCTAGTTTCACGCCGCACAAGGCCCACAGATCGTGAGAAACAAGGCTGCTGCAATTTGGTGGGATTATATAGCACGTGTAGTTCGGTACACAGCGGTACGAGTGCACACCACTGATCTCTATTATACTGATAGGCACACACATGTACGTTCAATACGTGACAAGTGGCGCCATGAACTACACGTTGGTACATACACCCCAAGTGCGATACCAGCTTCGCACGTACATGTACACATATGTAAGCACATGCTAACTTCAGTCATTTCGTGGTGATCAATGCGCAACAAAAATGCCGACAGCACCGTCCAAATGTACCTTTGAAAAATGGCTGAGAGAAATGCCATGGCTGAGTTATGTAGCTTGCAAGAGGCCAAAATCAAAGCCGTTCGAGATTCTGCAGAACATTCGTCAGATCTCAATAAATGATCAGCAAGTTTGCTAATCAATTTCATTTTCTTATTTCCATCACTGCTGTATGATACGACCAATATAGTTACATTTGTACCTAAAAAAAATGACGATATGGGACCCAATGTTTAATTCTTATCACCAATGGCAACCATGATTTGTGCCTGTTTCATGAACAATTGCTGCCCAGTTTTCTACGTACACCAAGCAACATGTCTCTATGGGACCCAATGTTTAATTCTTATCACCAATGGTAACCATGATTTGTGCCTGTTTCATGAACAATTGCTGCCCAGTTTTCTACGTACACCAAGCAACATGTCTCTATGATTACGTGTTTTTTCCCTCTGTACACACTCAGCTGTTACTTTTCATATAATTTGTTGCCATCTTTGATTTTATCCCTAAGCACAAAAATCCAAAGCCTGTCTGTCCTGCTGATAATTGACAGAATGATGTTTCTGTGTGTTTTGTCAGATTTTGTACATGTAACTTGCGTATTTTACAAATGAGTGTGCAGCAGTGTTGTACTGAGTTCATCACAAGTCCCTGTAAGTCCAGCACAAGTCCATCAGAAGTCATTCAATCTGGAGCCAATTCATGAGCTATTCAAATGAGCTGTGACAAAAGCATTCCTTTGTCACTGTTCACCCGGTTACTTATGACTGGCCTGGTGAAGGCACTTGTGACTGACCTTGTGAAAGGACTTGTGACTGAACTTGTGACTGGCCTTGAGAATGTGAAGGGCCTTGTGACTGGCCTTGTGAAGGGCCTTGTGACTGGCCTTGTGAAGGGCCTTGTGACTGGCCTTGTGAAGAGACTTGTGACTGGACTTATGACTGGACTTGTGACTGGACTTGTGCAAAGACTTGTGACTGGACTGGTATGAACAAAAATCAACCTGGTGCCTAACTTTTTTTTTTCTAGGAGTCAGTGGCTCCTCATTTTAATTTTCTCTGTACAAAAATCAACCTGGTGCCCAACTTTTTTTTTTCTAGGAGTCAGTGGCTCCTCATTTTAATTTTCTCTGTACAAAAATCAACCTGGTGCCTAACTTTTTTTTTTCTAGGAGTCAGTGGCTCCTCATTTTAATTCTCTCTGTACAGCACTGGGGAATAGCAATTTTTGTTTACACCTAGCTGGGTTCCATGGAAGCGACTGCATTTCACAGGTGTGAGAAGTGGATGGCCTATTTCACTCCAAACCAAGGCTTTCATCAAGTTCATTGTTCATTCATTTCCACAGTTTTACATACATACAATATCAATTTTCCAATGCTATATAAATACAGGGGGGAAGCCATGGAAGTACCCACTAAAAAGCAAAGCTTATGATTGTGGGCCCTTGAAGCAATGAAGTTCATCACTAATCCACCCCAAGTCCTCTAGTCCCATGCTTTTCAAATTCAAGCTACTAAAACTGTCAAAAAATCCTTTCTTTGTCACTGTTTGTATTGTTACTTGTGCCTGGACTTGTCCGAGGTTGTCAATCACAACCCTGAATAATATCTGAAACTGATGTGAGGATCGATGAGAGTACTTCTATTTCCATCCAGGCCATCCCAGTACACCCTGCCAGTACAGGTAAACAGTGCACTTCAAATCATCCATGTAGTTTCCACTGTCAAAACGGCAGAGAAGCCATTCGAAAGCTGTGCGACTAAAACAATGGCAGTGATTTTGTGCCACTGCACAGGAAATGGTCCTAACTTGACATATCCACGCGCTCTACAACCCCAATTTTCTCGAACGGGAAATGGTGCATCCTCTTGCAGAATTTCATCACCATGACGGCCACATGTACACCTAGGCCAGATGGTTCCAATGTACATGTACGTGTGCAAGTCCACCCATTTACATGTATGTACATGTACGTGCATGCACACTGCACACCTCTGTCCACCTTCACTGTTTAAAAAGCAGAGAACAGTTATAAAATGGAAACCTCACACCTGGAAAGAAATCCAATGTATCACTAGAGCAAATAAACTAATTCTTACAGTCATCCAGAGGGGAAATACCGGTACATGTAGCGTATGTAATTGCAAATCAACACAATTTGAATGCATGTACGCACTGGTAAACATATACTCCAGCAAAAATCAAATTTTTCTTTTAAACATGCCTTGTGTAAGCGTGATTTCTTATGTAAGATCAAGCTATGCCATGCCTAGATACTTATTTAATTGTAGCCAGGTCTACGCTTATGTAAGTGTAGACATGGCTGCATAATTCCTTCTGCCTTGTCATTAATCTGGAGAACAGATAATTTTAATATTCCCCCAGCCAACATGGCCGATGCTCCGCTGCTAAATGGCAACTCCGATCATGTTCACGGCACAACTTTACAATCTTATTCCCTAAACCAATTTCTTTCTTTTTTTTATCCTGCTGTCAAATGAAATCAAATCTGCCCAGGCAAGGCACCTTGGGGAGGAGAAAAGAAGGAAAAAAAAAAAAAAGGGCAAAGGGACTTTGTGACACTCGATCTTCAGGGCCCCAACAATAGCAATTGGGCATGGGCGCGCAGCGTGTAATGCTAGAAGGCGAAAGGAGGTTTGATGTAGGCCCCAGCATTGATGCCCGACACTATCAGCGATAAAGACACCACCATTTACATGCCACGCAGAGGCATCGCGAAGCCTGGGGATGGTATTACTGACACGGGGGCTGGGATAAGTAACCTCTCATCTTTTGGCATACATATGGTGAATAGATGACGGGATTGTAAGCGGCTGCCCTGGATGGAAGGCAGACAAAACCTTACGCAGTAGAAACAAAAAGGGTCAATAAAAAAAAAACGCCTCTAGACCAAGGTTACTGCCCGGTGCTTCGTGCGTGAGCAACCCGTGACGATAGGAGACAAACTGTGAGGAATGCGAATGTGGGACGACGGTGGTGATAATGACGGGTCGGCGAAGATGGGAGGATGCCACTAGACACGAGCCTGGGACCGTACGCATGTTGAGCTGCACAGCAACAACCCTGGGAGTGACAATGAGTAAAACTGCAAAAACAAACACACCGCATACTGGAAGCTGCAAGCTCACGCTGGCCTTTCCCATGTTGTACAAGTGACCTCCTCAATATCAAAATATAAACTGCAGGGTTAGTGATAAAACATGCATTGCAATCAACCAGATATATGCTCAAGTCAACCGCGGTCATCAATTATATTCCCCAAGCAACCATCCCCCCCTCCCCCCGAAAAAAAATAAATAAATAAAAGGCCCCACAATTCCATCTTTCCAGATATGTTCACAATGAGGGAATTCAGAGGGAATGAAAAAAATCAGTTTGAATTTATTTTCAAATACAGGCATAGCATCGGATAATTTCTTGGTGTATTGTATGTTTCTCCTCGAGCCTCGTACACGTACAGTCATACACCTACCTCAATGAAGATAGAAGACGGATTAGTGTTGTCTTGGAACTTGGCCAAGAGCTCCTGAATGTTTTTCTTGGTCAGCTCAATGAAGTGTTGCACATGATGGAGCTGGGGAGACCAAAAAAAGCACACAAATGTAAGATTACAATCATACATGTACATGTATATACAGGGAGTGCAGCCCCTGCCACGGATCTTAGAAGGGTGTGTTCAAGAAGCTTTAACATTTAAGCAAAGATTGTGGGAGAGCATTCGATTTGTGAATCATGTTATACTTTAAGTACATGTACTTCTGGGGTGTGCAAGTTGAAGCCACCAGTGCCCCCCACCAGTGTGGTGAGTACCTGGAGAGGAATGAGCACAGTAGCTATGCTAATGTCCTTTGCATTTGGCTCGGGCATCGTCAGCATCCATTCCCTGATCCAGTCTTGAACGAACATTTAACACTGGACAACCGTATTCCCTTATTAAATGACACTGTTGCCACCGCTGACACAGTCAAATTCCCTCGAAAGATGATGGTATTACCCTTTAACCTCCCTCCCCTACCTGTGACTGGACATCAGCAAATCAACAATTTTTACGCAAGAAGGCATTTCACACACAATACCTATGAAAGTTTCCCCACATACCAGGCAAAAATGCACGAGTGTCAGTCAACTGGACACATTGCAAGTGCTATACATGGGAAAGCTACATGTACCAAATGCAGTGCGGAGATTTTCCAAATTCTGGCCCCTTGTCCAGGTGTGTCTGGAGGAGGCTCTGGCTGCCCTAAAATGGGCCCTGCCTTCATCGAGGGCCACACTCTGCTCCACAAAAACGTTTGATACCCAGGCCAAAGCTTAGAGTGTTTCTATTTGGTTTGGATGGTGAAGATTTCTAAGAAATTCCTCAGCGACATATGAAGCTCAGGCCAAAGATGAAATCGAGGACTGGGCGAAATGGGCCAAACCAAAACAAAAAACAGCCAAAATGCTGGCCTAACAAGGATTGGGAGGGGGCCTGTCGCGGTTTATTGCATTACTTTTAACGCAGAGTACATGTATGTACTTTGGAAGTGCAGATGATAGCATGAACGATCCTCTCTTCACAAAGCATTTGTACATCATGTTTTGTCAGTGACTATCTAAGCACCCAACATGTACAGTGTACATTCATGGAGTTATACAAAAGCAAATACACACTGAAATATGCCGATAGACTGCATGATGTATGGTGCTCTTGACAGTCTGAATACTGCCAAAATGCACTTGTAAGCACATTACAACTCATACACTGAAGTGAACTCGATGCATGGGACCATGATGGGACAGAGGTATTGAAAATAATGATGTACATTGTACATACATGTATAGTTCAGGTACATGTACATAAATACATCATTCACATACAATGCAACCAATAAAACGAGTAAGCACAATTTTACCTCAAATACGGTCAAAGATTTTATTTATTTATTTTTTTGAGTGTGCCATATCAATGACCCAGATCTTTCATTAACGTTGCTTAATTGTAGACAGGAAAAACAGCTGCGTTGCTATCAGATGGAACGCACATTCTGGGAGTGGGTGAACCAAATGGAGGAATGCCAATCATCAAGACAAGCGGCGGTGGTCTTAATCAAGGACTGATTATTTGTAATTGGCATCGGACCTCATAAATATTCATGACCCCGTTGAATCAACTGTGTAACACAGCTGATTTTTTTGTTCTGTCCAATGGAAGTTTCCACAGTTGCAAGTGTATGAAATCCCTGAATTCATATCCTATATTATCCCACATCCGTGTGAGTTGTTCTTTTCTTCTTTGAGATTTCTTTCTCGTTCTAAACTTGATGAAAGTGACGCTTATTTCATGAGGCGATGGTTGTTTAATTATCATGGTGCAGTTTCTGCATGTCATGTGTTTCATTCAGAGCACAGAAGCTTCAGGTGAACTTATGCAGCTTACCTGGGTCAATTTGTGCCAAGGGGCTTATCTTATCCCCCCGAGCTACATGCACCCCAAATCAGCGAAAGAAAGACAGGTGGTTACAAGCAGGTTCTTGCACGCATTCTGCATGTACGCAAAGCCCACACATGCCGGAATAAATTAGTTACACATACTCAGCGTACTCCACGTCAAACGCGCATATACTTAAGCCTCATGGCGCCTCTATGCAGTGAGAACCCAAAAAAGCACCCCCTCTTTTATTCTGCTCGGAGCAGATTTACTTCTGTGCCATCGACCACTTGGAACCATTCCAGGATTTGTTTTGTTTATTTGTTGATGGAAAATAATGGACCTTTTAATGTAACTTAACAGACGGTAACCTCATTCCGTGAGCCTTTCCAATGACCTATGTGTTAAAGGGTGTTAAATGGCACAAACATAACATTTAGAATATTCTTGTAAATCCCACTGGACAGAACAAAAGAGCAGTTGTCTTATGTAATCAAGATTATCTCTGCAAGCACCATTATATTTACAGGTAAAGTCTTCAGGTTTGACAAGATAAAATTCTATGCCATTCTAGACCCAAAACAACACTGTCTGACACTTATTTGTGGAGAAATTAAATTTCACTTTTGGGTTGCCTTTGGAGGGAGAGGGCGGCACCCCGTCTTGGAGGAACAAAAGGAAACGCCACCTCTCTCATCAGTACTGCAGTATAGGAAGACAGGACCCTGTACCTGTGAATACGGCCTGTACATGTACCGCCATCCACCCACGGACCATTCACCCAGGGATGTGCAACTTAAGCTCAGGCACAATATCAAAGCAGAAACCCTCCTATGCTAAGATACATTCTTGACACAGTTGTCACATCAGTCAAAATCAGTCAAATTTCCCATATGTGTCTGTGTACTGACGGAAATCAAGTGGAAGGCATTTTTGACTGTTTTTTGACGGTTAAAACAGAAGGAGGGTTAAGTTGGATTATGTAACACTTTCTCTAATAATAAAACATATATTCCTGTCTACCGCTTTGTTTTTTTGGTAATATTTTAAGTCAGGGTACACCCTCTCTAAAAATATGCTGCTCAAGATATTTCATCCTATACATTCTGAGAAAAGTGTACCACAAAATTGGGGAATTTTGCCTCATTAAAACTTCGTCTCTCCTTGAAAATGATAAATGAAGATTTATTCGTCAAACAATTAGATTTAAGCACCGCGTCGGCGCATCGTCTCGGCATAACCACGGCTGCACAGTACATGATGCAACGCGTGTCATGTGGTCGCGAGTTTTTTCAAGAAAGTCAAGAGCGTCTGCGGGGGTAATAACAATCCGTAACGTGCATGGAACCAAGGTCGCATATATGTGTCTGCACTGGGGCCGCTCGCTCGCGGTTGCGCACCCCTGGGTAAATGGTCCGTGATCCACCACACTCCACTCTGCTCATTCAGAATGGGATCAAGGCCACTCGAAAATTACATGTTGGGGTACATGTACCTATACAAAATGCACATGTGCACAATGCCATTACCAGTGGGAGATAACCAGAATTATACACATGTATAACACCGCATTCTTCTCGGCATACCTCAACAGAATGTGTTTTTGTAGCATTCAAATGCTTGGGCTGGATCACACAGGCTCCATTGGTATGCCTGGAATTCCCTTCATTTAGCGATGGCTTCCCCAAAATAAAACAATTATGCAGCCGACAATGTTCACATTTAATTTGAGACATTAAAATAATGTACAGACGACATACCAAAATGGCATGTGTGCACATACATGTACACGTACAGTGCGCACTACGCATTTTTGTCTCCATAGCCAGAAATGGCTTCTAATTAGGAGTTCACATTCCTGGGATTCGTGTTGTTTTGTTTTTTCCTTTTTTTTCCAGAGGGCCTTGGCTCCCCCCCCCCCAGGAAAACAAACTCCCTTCTAAAAGTAGTCCCTGGTCAATGCTGGCTGCACGTCGACTGTAGGTATTTTAAAAAACCTTCAACTCTGGTTCCCCAAAGTCAACCGCAGAAATTCCTGCCTCAACTCTCTCCGACGCAGCCCAAGCAGTTCCCGGGGAGCTCACAAAATCGGCCAAATTTTCAGATTCCAACCCCCAAGTACATGTGTACATGCACATGTACCCTCCTGCATGTACTACAGTAGTGATTAATGTTCCACTGACAGGCTAACACATACGTGCCAATATGCATGTGTGCCCGTACAGTGTATGTATTAAATGATCCACTCTGGAGAGAGAAAAAAGGAAGTTGTGTCCATTTCTACCCAAGAAAGGTAAACTGAAAAACTAATAAATCCTGAGAGAAAAGACCGCAAAAAGCCATCTGTAGAGTAAACAGGAGATGGTGAGTTTGAATGGTGATGTACATGTTTACGTGAACAGGTTTAAGCATCAAAGGATTATATAAACTTCCGAAACCCGTAAAACATTTCGGGCCCTTCTCTCTGCACAAGTAAAACTTTACACTCCCTTAGTGTTGTAAATACAAAATATTATAAAAGCACTTCCCTCGCATAGTAGTTATTCTGAAATGTTACTTAGGTGACGACACTGACTGACTGGCTGTCTGACGACATACTGACAAGCTAAACAAGACAAGAGGCTTCCATATTTTTGGTGGTACCTATCCCCCCCCTTCCTCAAGAAATTGAGAAAATAACAGACCACAAATTTGTTCTGAAAATTGTTTTAAGATGAAGAAGGAAATTGAACCAGCATTCCATCAACTGAGAAAACCAGCCCTATGATGGCAGTTCTTCCAATGCATCGATATCTTTGTTCGGGGGGAGCTACGGTAGAGGCAGTCAGAAGACGCCATTCGGCAACACTGTACCTTTCCTAGTAGGCACTTGCACTGTGTCTGAACAAGTACATTTACGCCCATGTGATCACTGTTAGGCGGTCCGCAGTCACAAATGCTTGTGTGTGTCATTCCCAACCCCAGTCAGTTCATTTGGCAGTAATGAGCAAGTTTGGTTCTTTCAAAAAGGAAAGGTCATTCAAGAACAAAGCACACAAGCACGTCGGTGATGGCCGTACTGATAATGCCTCTTGTGTGCGTTGTGCAGTTCCTGAATGACCATGGACTTATTTTCTTTTAACTGGCTCATTCTGGAGGACTACTGCCTTCTAGTGCACTGACCC